AGGTACTCATGCCCACCCGCCTCCTTCTCCTCTGCTAGGACATGCTACCATTCTTACCTTAGAGCCCCACCCAAGAGATGCCCCCACCCTACCCTGCTGCCCCTGGCAGGAGTAAAATGGAGGGGCCCCATGAACCCCTTCCCTGCCCTCTAGGCTGGTTCCCTGCCTTTATGGCGATCAAAGGGCAGAGAGCAGCCCCACCCCAGGCCTTCACAGGCTGCAGGCACCAGGGCTCTCAGGAATCATGGGGACTTTGGTGCCCAAGCAAATGCTGAGGCAGAGGGAATGCTAGGAGGCTGGCACCCACCTTGGGGAATGGAGATTTCAGTAAGTGCTTGCTGGACTGGCCATCGTCTTCTGGGCTCTCTGTATAGGCCCTGACTTGTGTGCAGCCTCCTGAGGAGATGGCTCAGAACAGTGTCTTGGGCCTTCTCTGTAGGACCTGGGGGACTGGACCCGCCTGACTGGCACCATGACACAGGGGTAACCCTCCCCCACCCCAGGCCGACAGTTGGCATGGGGCGCTGGGAGCAGGAGGGTAGGAGGGAGAGGAGGGCAGGACTGCCAGCATCCTGGTGGGTAGGTGCCAACCGGGCCGGGAGCTGGTGAGGGGCAGCAGGCCAGCGGCGTAGAGCCAGCAGCTCTTGGGGGGAAAGGGGAGGAGATGTTTTAGGGGGCATTTCAGTGGTCCTCCTCAACCCAGGAGGACTTGGACTGGCCTCGTGTCTAGGGCACATTGGGCACCTCTCATTCCAGGAATAAGAGACCCTAGGAGGTGTTTCAGTGGAACTTCATGGCCCACCCATCTCTGGGCTCAGAGCCCTCCTGAGTTGCCCCTCAGGCCCAGGCGGGTCCCACCCAACCGGCCAGGGTGGCAGCAGCTTGCGCAAGGGGTGGGGCCAGGCTTCCCAGCAAATGCCCCCTCCTGGCTCCTTCCTCTTTCCGTGCCCACAGCTCCCCCCCATCTGTCCACCCCCTTCGGGCCAGCTCCATCCCCTTGATCCCCCTGGCCATTGGGGGCTGGCACAAGGGCTGCCCCCTGGCCTGGTTGGCAGGGGCTGGTGCCCGGGCAAGGAACTGTGGTATGTGAGTGGGTTTGGGGTGAGGCATGGGGAGGGCGGGGTGCTGCCTTGCCCAGCCCCTGAGGGCCCCAGCCCAGTACAGGGTGGGGAGGATTTGGTCAGCTCCCAGGGGTCTTGGGGGCCCACAGGGGCCTGAAGGGCCTCCCTGTGGCCCCCTGTAGTGCCGTGTGCTCCTGGGGGCCGGGGCCTGGGCACCTGTCACCCCTGGCACTGACTGTCCAAGGGCTCCCCTCCTCCCTCTTCTGGCCATGGCCACCTCCTGTCCCCTCCCCTCCCTTCTTCCTTCTCCTGGTCCCACCTCCAGCAGCCTCTCCCGTGGCTCCTCCTCACCTCTGTCCTCCTGGACTGTCCCAGCTCCTACCTTGCCTACGCTCACCTTTTTCCCCTTTCAGGACTGAGTGAGGACGAGCGGGGGTGGGTACAGCTGGGGCTTCGGGCACCACAGGCAAAACTTTAGGCCCTCTCCCACGCTGCCAGCCCTCTGGTAACCCCTCCCTCCCAGCTTGGGGGAGGGGGACAGCACCCAGAGGGTTAAGGCTGAAGGGGGGAGGGGCTGGGCCAGGTCGTGGGCGGCCCCTTTGAAGGAGGGAGCTGGAGCGGGGAACAGCCACCCCACCTCCCCCCCCCAGCCCGCCCTCCCCCACCCTCCCAACCTGCTCCCCCCAGGGGCCAAGAGGAGTTGCCGGCAAGGCCCCTCCGCGTTCAGGTGAGTAGGCCCTGCTCTGCCTTGGGAGAACAGGCCTCTGGGGAGGCTTGGAGGCCTAGCATTGGCCAAGGGTCAGAGAGGGACTGCAAAACAAGCCAGGAAGAGGGTGTCCAAGCTTCCCCGGGGAAGGTTTAGGGAGCTGAGGGTCCGGAGAGCTGGAGTGTGGGAAGCTTCAGGACTCAGGGGACCCAGAGGGCAGGGGAGCAGAAGGAGCTGACAGGAGCTGAGGGATTGCTGGGCCAGGACAGGAGGCTGGACAGGCTGGCAGGGAGCCGGGCTCTGGGGATCGGGCTGGGGTGTCCTCTGGGGCTGGGGGGCTCAGGTTTCTGTCCGCGGCTTGGCGGGTGTGGGGTTACCAGCCAGCTCGGTTACCCAGCCTGAGACGCTAGGCTGGGGGGAGGGGGTGGGCACCGGGCAGACCCTGGCACCTTGTGCCGGCTCCTCTGGCCTACGGGAAGCCGGCACTGCTCAGGCAGATCCCGCTGGGAGCCCTAATGTCCAGGGTCTGTCCAGGTGCGTTGTTGCCTGGCCCAGGGTGGGTGCCCTCTGGGGAAAGCCCAGCAGCTCCAGGGCTGGAAATTCTGACGGGCAGAGAGGCCTGGGTTGTCCCCCCACCCCACCCCACATCCGCTCTCTCCGCACTGCCCCCACCCCCGCCACCCATCCTCCCCAGCTGGCCCCCAAATTTTGATCCTGTGCTTCTTCCAGAAGGGTGGCATGGGTGTGCTGAATGTGGCCATCCCATGGCAAGACCAGGGCTCGAACGTCAGGCCTGGCTCCTTGATCTGATTCCTTGGGCCTCTCTCTCTGCCTGCCTGCCCACCCGCCTGGGGAGAAGGGAAGGGATGCTCGGGAGCAGGATGGAATGGAGGAAGTGGGAGAGGCTGGAGTCTAGACCTGAAGAAAAAGAAAGGAGAGGGCAGGGCGAGGTGGCTCCTGGGGGCCATGAGCCACAGACTCCTAGAGCGGAGGCCAGAGGCTGGAGGCTGGCGGAGGCTGAAGGAAGGGAAGCATAGGATGTCTGGCGGAGAGGGGACAGGGAGAGGAGGTCAAGGAATGGGGGGACTGTCGGCAGGAGTCCCCAAGGAGTAAGGGGCAAGGCTGGGGAAGGGAAGTGGCCCATGCCCTCCTCTACCACCTCCCCCCACCCCAGTGTGGCCCACTGGCCACTCGAGGGCGAGGGCGGGTGTCAGGGAGAGGAAACATGCAGGGGCACTGAGATCTCCTTCATCTTGGGGAGCACTGGAGAGCACTGAGGAGCACCAGGAATTGGGGATTTTCACGGAGGAGAGGCTTAACCCCCACAGCACCGGGAAGCAGCCAACTCCCCTGGCCTCCTTCCCCCTTCGTGGCTTGCGGTCTCCCTTCCCCGCCTGGCCCCCAGGAAGTGTGAGTGCTGGGGGTGGTGAGGTTAGGAGGGGGAAGCGGTGTGTGGGGGATGGGTAGGCCACGCACTGGCCCAGAGGGGCTAGGGTGCGGGGAGGGGCTGGGGTGCAGATAGAGGGCGTGTCCAGGCCCTACATCTTTGGCCAGGGGGCTTCGCCTTCCATGCCCGCCTTCCATGCCCACCCACATAGGCCTCCAGGGGACTCTGTCAGCCCCTCGTCCGGCCTTCCCAACTGGGTAGTCCAGATGGCCCCAGCCCCTGGGCTCCAGGGGCCCTGGGAAGGGTAGGAGAAGCTGAGGAGCTAGGATTCCTGGGTCCCTGAGGACTTTGGACCGGCTGCCCTACTTCCCCACCCCCTGGTCCAGCCACAGGCCAAAACCCTGGCTGCGTGCAAACTTAGCTCCAAAAAAACAGGAAGAGAACCTGAGGCTGGAGTTGGGGTGGGGGTGGGGGGCAGAAAGGAGAAAGAAGTAAGAGGGAGGGGTAGCTAGCCAAGGTGGGGGGTGGGCACCAGGCCATGCCCCGGGCCTCCATCACCCTGGAGGAGGATGTCACAGCCAGACCTCACCCTCCCTCCGGAGAGCTGCTGCACCTGGAGAAGGAGAAGCCCTTGGTGGGATTGGGGGGGGGTTCTGTGTGCCTGCATCTCAGCCCCATATCTATTTTCTCTGCCGCTAATCCTGGTTCCGCCCGCTGCCCCCCACACTAAGCCTCACTCCCCTAATCCCCAGGGTGTGGGGAAGGGGGGCCAGCCTCACTCATCTGCCCCTTGGGGGCTGTGTCCCTGCTCTCTGGCTGCTTGAAGCCTCTGCACCTGGGGTGCTAGTGCCCCCAGCCCTCACTGGACACTGCCTGAGGTCAGCCCCTGGAAAGAGCTCCAGACCCTTCCTTTCCAAGTCAGGCCCAGTGCGCTCCACAGTGCTGGACACACCCTGGCAGGTGCCCTAGGGCACTGAGGTACACCATAGGAGTTCCCACCTTGGCCCCCCTCCTACCTTTCTCACCCCTAAGTCTTCCCCCCACCAAAGATGGGGCAGGCTTGACTCAGGGCCCAGTTTCAAGAGAGCTGCCCACCTGCTTGGCCGGTCTAGCAGGCCTGACAGTGAGGGGAGCCTGGGGGGGTGGCAGGAAAGGGGGAGCGATGGGGCGGGGCCCCCAGTTCTTCCCCCTACCAGGCAAACAGACCAAACAGACCTTGCCTGGTTCCCTGGCACAAGCTGCCCCCCCAACCACCACACACACCCATGCCCACAAGGCCTTAGCAAGAGGGGGCATGCCAGGCTGGGTGGGGATGGGCCGCCCTCATGGGGCGTCAGGGGGCTGGGCACTCTGGGATGCAGATGTGGGAAGGGTGCCCAAGGTGGGGTGGGCATCCTGGCACTGGTGCCCCACCCCACCCCCAGATGATGGGACCAGGAGGAGTGCCCCCTTGGCCTGGTTGGCACCAGCATCATTTCCAGACAGCACCTAAGTAGGCATGGGCGCTGGAGCCCTGGGTAAGAGTTGGGGGAGTTTCCCAGAAGCTAGAGAACCTCACAAACACCTCTCCTTCCTACATGTGTCCTGTGCTTCTCCCCTCCTTCCTTGCTACCTCGTGGCCATGGGCACTGGAGTTGGGCCTAAGGGGTTAAACACCCACCCTTGCCCAAGCCCTGTGTGAGTTGTGTGGTGAACCAGCCTGAGCCTGTGACCTGACAGCCAGGTCAGCCAATCAGCACCCTGCCACACCAAGTTGCCGCGGAGACCAGCCCTGGGGTGGGAGAAAGGAGGCGGGCTTAGCAGCAGGAATGGGTGGGGTGGGGAGGGAAGGAGGGAGAGGGATGGGGCAAGCCACGTGCCTGCGGGTGCCCAGCTCCAGGCCAATGGACAGTGAGGACAGCCCCACCCATCCCCTTAGGGAAGGCCAGGATCTGCCTAGGCCCAGGAGGGTGCCCACTGCTGCTGCCCACCCGGTTTTTGTTTGCTCCCAAGACCTGGGCCTTTGGCCACTTGTTCTGTTTGTAAAGTGCCGGCAGGAGAGCCAAAGGGAACTGGGATCACTCCTGGGAGAGAAGTGATATGGGGACTGCAGGTGGGAGCAAGCAGTGGTGCTGGGAGCACCTGGGGGCACCTGTCAGGAAAAGGGAGACATGTGGGTGCTGCTCCCCAGTCCCCTCCCCCCCCACACCCAGCAGGAGCCCCCATGTCCCACTGAAGGTGACTGGCTTGGAGGCAGGCAGAGACAATGCCATTCTTGTACTTCAAAGACGAAAGCTGTGGCCCTTGACTCCTCCAGCTCCCTGAAAAAAACCTTTTCCCCTCAGGGCTGAGCAGTTTTGGGGAGCGTCAAAGACACTGACCAGGGTCAGTGGGACTCTCCCTAAGGACCCATGTAGGTCAGAGGAGGAAGGTGGCCTCCTGGGGTAAGGAAGTGACTTATCCAAGGTCGCTTAGCCAGTAGTAAACTGACTCTGGGGTGATTTGAGGGAGGGAGACCCAGCTGTCCCAAAGCAGGTTCCCAGTAGAGGCCATCTGCGCTGCTGTGGAATCTGCCCCTGGGCGAGGCCTTGTCTCTCCCTCCCAAGGCCAGAATGTTTATTGGGCCCCTACTGCATGTCAGCCCTTGTGCCCCACATGCTCTCATTCACCGTCACCACAGCCGAGGGATTATCCCGCGCTGTAGACCAGGTGCTGTAGACCGGGAACGAGGCTCAGAGATGAGATGGTATGTTTGAAGTCACAGGGAGTGCGGGCTCAAAGTCAAGCCTGGCTGGCTCCAGAGCCCAGCTCTTGCCCACCCTGCTCTGTCTCCACTGGCTCCAGACCCACCCACACAATGTTAGGGCTGAGGGGCTGAGCTCTTGGGACTTCCACTTTCATCCAATGCCTTGTACAGCTGAGGAGACCCTTGCACAGACAGAAGGGACTGGCTCAAGGTCATTCAGCAAGATAGCAGCAGACCTGGGACTCAAGCAGACCTCCTCACTCTACCAGCCTAGGGGGTGCTGTTTGGAGGGGCCAGTGAGTGCAAGGGGGGGGGGCTCTCCCCACTAACCAAGAATGGGGAGGGAGAGCTGGTGGTGGTAACTGTAGTGGGGAGGGCTGGAACTGGAGCTGGGCCTATTGGCAGTGGGGGATGGGGCGGGGATGATGCTTATCTGTGCGGGGCAGGAAGCACCCGAGCCAGCCAGCGACACCCCAGCAAAGGGTGGCTGCTCCTTGGCCCCCTGGGGGAGGGGAGGATGTGGGGGGAGAGATGATGGGAGCTGTGTTTCCCTTTTGGCCTGGGGGGGGTGGAATCTAAAAGGGGAGATGAACTTTTAGTATGTGGGGGAGGGGAGAAGGAGGAGGGTGAAGGTGAAGCGCTGGGAAGCTGCCTGGTGAGTCTGCATAGCCTCTTACAGAGCACCAGACCCTACAGTGAAAGTACCTGACCCATGCCTGGAGCAGACCTAGGTCCAGTGTGAATCCCAGCTCTTGTCCTTGGCCTCTCTGGCTGTGGGGAGGCTCCAGCATGGACTGTCACCCTACTCACAGACAATTGAGCCCTGAGGCCTTCAGCCACCTCAGGAAGCCTGGGCCAGGACCCTGGTACCCACCTCCCTGCCCAGTGCTCCCTGCAAAGGCATGGGGAGTGGGTCTCTAGCAAAGGCTCAGCTCCCTGGGGGCCCTCCCAGCGCAGAGGCAGGCAGGACCACAGTGGGAAACAGCCTCTGGGCCCGGGGCCCAGAGACCAGGGTCTGGGGTCTAGGTTTGAGCACTGTTCAGCACTTAACTTTGGCCAGTCACTTCCTCTGTCTGCACCTCTGTCTGTGGAATGGATGCTAACCAGTCCCTCAGAGGGTTGTGGAAGGTAACCTGGCTGCAAAGCACGTAGAAGACTGTCAGTAAGCTTTAGCCGACACCAGGGCTCCTTCCTGGGAGCTCTTAATCTCTTCCCCCCTCCACCCTGCAGGAAAAGATGGGGAGCCCTGAGGACGACCTAATCGGGATCCCGTTCCCAGACCACAGCAGTGAGCTCCTGAGCTGCCTCAATGAACAGCGCCAGCTGGGCCACCTCTGCGACCTCACCATCCGGACGCAGGGCCTTGAATACCGCACCCACCGTGCTGTGCTGGCCGCCTGCAGCCACTACTTCAAGAAGCTCTTCACTGAGGGCGGTGGCGGAGCCCTCATGGGGGCTGGGGGCGGCAGTACAGCCGCTGGGGGAGCAGGCACTGGCGTGTGCGAGCTGGACTTTGTGGGGCCGGAGGCGCTGGGTGCCCTGCTCGAGTTTGCCTACACGGCCACACTGACCACCAGCAGCGCCAACATGCCTGCGGTGCTGCAGGCCGCACGGCTGCTGGAGATCCCGTGTGTGATCGCAGCCTGCATGGAGATCCTGCAGGGCAGTGGGCTAGAAGCTCCCAGCCCTGATGAGGACGACTGCGAGCGAGCCCGCCAGTACCTGGAGGCCTTCGCCACGGCCACAGCCTCAGCCTCTGGGGTGCCCAACGGTGAAGACAGCCCGCCGCAGGTGCCCCTCCCGCCCCCGCCCCCGCCCCTGCCCCGGCCAGTGGCCCGCCGCAGCCGCAAGCCCCGGAAAGCTTTCCTGCAGACCAAGGGGGCCCGGGCAAACCACTTAGTGCCCGAAGCCCCCACCGTGCCCGCCCCCCACCCCCTGACCTACGAGGAGGACGAGGTGGCCGGCAGAGTGGGCAGCAACACGGGCAGCGGGCTGGGGGAGAGCTACAGCCCCCCAGCAGGGACTGCTTCCCCCCCGGAGGGGCCCCTGACTTACGAGGCCTATGAGGGTGAGGAAGAAGAAGAGGAGCTGGTGTACCCTTCTGCCTATGGGATGATGGCACAGGGAGGTGGGCCCCCGCTGTCCCCCGAGGAGCTGGGCTCAGATGAGGATGCCATCGATCCTGACCTAATGGCCTACCTAAGCTCACTGCACCAGGACGCCCTGGCACCGGGCCTAGACGGCCAGGACAAGCTGGTGCGCAAACGCCGCTCCCAGATGCCCCAGGAGTGTCCAGTCTGCCACAAGATCATCCATGGGGCAGGGAAGCTGCCACGCCACATGAGGACCCACACGGGGGAGAAGCCCTTCGCCTGTGAAGTGTGCGGTGTCCGCTTCACCCGGTGAGCACCAGGGGAGAAGGGGCCAAGAGGGGACCAGGTTGGTCGGGAGGGAGAGAGGACTTATGAGACCCAAGCTGGGGAAGCAGGTGGTCTTGGAAGGCCTGGGGGGCCCAGGGGTCACCAGAGTGACCAGAGACACCAAAATTGGGAGTCTGGGAGAAAGAGGCAAGGGAGGTGGGTTTGGCGCACGAAAACTTCAGTATTGGAGGCAGAGGAGAGGGTGGCCCTGCCAACGGAGGCTGGGGAAGTCAACCAGGGTATCCTGCAGTAAGAGGTGAACAAATGGGCGGGGGTGGGGGAGCAGCAGGAGTGGGACAAGACCTGGGAACCTGGCCAGTAAAGTGAGTGGGGTGGTCCCATCCTGACTTGCTCCCTTGCCCTTCCCCCTACCCCGGCCACCGGCCAGGAATGACAAGCTGAAGATCCACATGCGGAAGCACACGGGAGAGCGCCCCTACTCGTGCCCGCACTGCCCAGCCCGCTTCCTGCACAGCTATGACCTCAAGAACCACATGCACCTGCACACGGGGGACCGGCCCTATGAGTGCCACCTGTGCCACAAGGCTTTCGCCAAGGAGGACCACCTGCAGCGCCACCTCAAGGGCCAGAACTGCCTGGAGGTGCGCACCCGGAGGCGCCGCAAGGACGATGCGCCACCCCACTACCCTCCGCCCTCTGCCACCGCCCCCTCCCCTGCTGGCCTCGACCTCTCCAATGGCCACTTGGACACCTTCCGCCTCTCTCTGGCTCGATTCTGGGAGCAGTCAGCTCCGACTGGGCCCCCTGTCTCCACCCTGGGGCACCCTGATGAGGAGGAAGAGGAGGGGGCACCCAGTACGCCTCAGGCTGAAGGGGCCATGGAGTCCTCTTAAAGAGGGCAGAGCGGCCCGGCTGGAGCAGTGAGGCGCCCATGCCAAGCAGTGGGAGCATGCGGGACACACAGAGCTGTGGTCAGGGCGCTGGGCCTCCCTGGCCTCAGAAATCCACCCCTTCCCCCCAGAGCCCTCATTCCAGTTCCAAGCTGCGAAGGTTGTTGGGTCAGGCCCCCCAGATTGGGGTGATCTCCCTCCCGAGGAGTGATACGGGATAGTACATATTTACAGCTCTATCGTCAAGGTGGGGTCCCTGTACCCGACTGCTCCTGGGGAGTAGAAGCAATAATGTATTTCTGACTTGTGGTGTCCCTCTTCGGCTATGCGGGTTTCAAGGGGTTGGGGGGTTCGGGACCAAAGCCTCACCCCGCCCCCACGCCCCCAGGGGTTTTGGCTGTGTCGGGGGTGAAGGGCCGCCCCTCCCTTCCCTTCCGAGACCCCCCTTCCTGGTTTCTGTTCTCTTTTCCTGGCAGTGAATTATGCAAAGGGGACCGGTGAAGGAAGGGTAGGTGGGGGAAGGCGAGGGAGAAGCTGGAAAGCCTGGGGGACTGGGCCCGCAGGAAGGAGCCCTCCTCGCCCCCCCCACCTCACCCCTCCCCACCCCCCGCCGGGCTCCGAGCGCTGAGTCACGGGGTCCTGACGGAGAGGGGGCGGGGTGGCCTGAGCGGCTCGCCCGCCCCTGGGGGCAGCGGGAGGGGCCCGCTCCGCTCGGCTCCCCGCCCTGTCCCTGCCCTCCCCTCCCGCGTCCCCGGGCAGGGAATGTCTTGTTCCCGCCGCTCCCTCCCCGGGGCCAGAGGGCAGGGCGGGCCGGGTGGCTCCTGCCCTGCTCTCCTCCCTCCCAGGTGCGAGCCGCAGCCGCCGCCGGGCCGCCCCTGACTCACGCCGCCCCCGGGCTGGCGCGGCGCGGGCTGGGGGACGGGGTGAGGGGCGGAGGGCGGACGGGCGCCCCCTGGCGGCCACTCGGGCGAGCGGCGGGCGCCCCTCTGGGAAGCGCAGCCCAGGCCCGGCCCCCGACCGCCCCTTGGGTCCCGGAGAGGAATCCGCCCCCCTCCCTTAGGACTGAGTACACCCCGGTTCTGTACATAGCCTCTTCTGTCGGTCTTGTTGAAATCTAGTTTCAGATTTTTAACTACCCAATTCTGCTGGGGTTGGGGGTATCTGCCCCCCTCCCTCGCTGGGTGCTGCCCCCCCCCCCGTGGTGGCCTGGGCTCTGCCTTGCACTATCCCCCTCCCCGGCCTGGCGGCCCCTCCCCCTCCTTAGCAGGGGCAGGCTAAGGGGCCCGGTGCTCTCCCTTCCTCCCATGCACCCTCATGCCCATTTGCACAGCTGCCCAGGTGCCCCCAATAGTGAGGGGGGCGTCACAGGGAGGGGGTAGCGGGACCAGTCCCTGTATCTATTTAAAAAGTGATGATGTAATATATTGGGGTTGGGGGAGGTCCAGTTGCCCTGGGCCTCATCTTAGCATTTCAGGGGCTGGGGGAGCCTGGGGCTGGGGAGACCAGGGGCCTAGCCCCACAGAGTGAGGACAATGTGACCTCCCCCTCTCCCCTTGCGGCTTCTCCACTCAGTGCCTTAGGGGGAGAGGCGATTCCCCCCTCTCCTCTTCCCTCCTCTCCTCTGCCCCCACCTTGGGTGTAAGCGACAGGAAGAAATAATAATAATTTAAGATTCACAGTCGTGTCTGCCTTCGGTTCCTTTATTTTGGGGGTGGGTGGGAGGGATCAGGAGCAGGGAGATTAGAAGCTGAGAGGCTGGGCTCCTGAACTGGGAGCAGAGGATTTCTGAGGTCATCTGTGGGGCCAGGGGGCATGGGAATCCTGAGAGACTGGACCCCAGGTGGGCGCCACCTGTGTGTCCTCTGCCAACAGCCCTTCTCATCCAGGTCACTAGTAAGGACAGCGAGGGAGTGCTCTTGTCAGTGAGGCTGTTTCCACAGGCACATCCCTGCCCTGCCCAGATCTGCCAGCCTCTGCGGCACTCACAGACCCCCGTGGGGTACCGGCCCATGGCTGGAGATCTCGCAGTTTTAGGCTGATGCCAAGGGACCTGTGGGCAGTCACTTGCTCAAGGTCACATGGCTAGTAAGGGCAGAACCGACAGTGACCTGGGTGGTACATCTACCTGCTCAGGGCTCAAGTTTCCCCACCGCCCCACCTTTAACTTCAGTGAGCCCTTAGGAAGTTCTGAAAATAAAGCTTCACATCCTCTCCAACCTCTCAGCCCATCGATACCCTTGCGGCATTCACACCACATATGCCCACTGCAGTTGGTATGCAGGCTGCCCAAGTACCTGACTGGTACATGGCATACAGCAAAGGCCCCAGCTGCTGCACCCCCAGGCCCTGGAGGCAGCTGCCCCCCGCCCCCTGAAGCCACAGCTATCTCCCCAGACACCTGCCACACCACCCAGGGTGCCAGTACCAGACTAACTCATCATCACCCACCTCTCCAGGCTTTCCATCTTTGACCACTGTGGCTGTCAAGGCCTCTGCCTCCGTTCCTACTGGGACACCCCTTCAACCTTGGTTGCCCTCTGCATCTATCCCAGAATCTTCCCTAACCACAACCTGTTCTCTGTGTCCCTCCTGGCCACGAACCCTGCTCTAATGCTTCATCAAAACAGAGGCCAGGGACTCCCCAGGGACTCCCCACTGGTGTCAGTCCCTCTCCTGCCCCCAGGCCAGTCCTATCATTCTTACTGAAGATACCTCAATTCTTTCCCCATCACATCTCTCCCCCGACCCACCCAGAAAAGCCTTCAGCCCTCGAGTCCTGTTCAAGAGATCACTTTTCTGGAAGAAAGCTGCATCTTGAGCATATAGGAGTCAGTCGTTACAGGTTGTGGTTCGCACATCATCTGAGGCTTGAGAGCCACCTGCCAAGCCCTTCACCTCCAGACAGCTTCTTCTCACAGGACCAAGGAGTGCTGTCCACCCCCTCCCTCTGACCTCTTCCACTCCCAGCCCCTTCTCTGCTCTCTCAGCGGGGTTCCCCCCATCTCTCAAAGTTGAGGAAGGCTGCCAGACCAGAGCAGGCTCAGCTCTGCTCAGAGGAACACCGCTCCCCCCTGCGCAGGGGTGCCCTGGCCGCCTGGCCCTGGACCCCACCTCTGGGGTCCCTCTTTCACCTCTAAAGCCCAGCCCTCCCTCACTTCGGTAACCCTAAGCCCTTTTGCGCGCCTAGGGCAAGCTCTGCCTCTGCTATGCTGCACTAACTCCCTCCTCTCCATCAGCAAAGCTTCCTTTTTTAACACCAACAGTTCTATTTGCAAAGAGAGTGATCAAGCTTCTCGTGGCTGTGATACAGAGCCACATACTATTTCTTTCTGCATCTTCTCTACCTGTCAGCCTTCAACCCATTACAGTCTGGTCTGGGCTTTCCTGGGACCACGAGAAATGTTCCCACAGCCACTCCAGTGATGTCTCAGCCGCCAAATTCACTGACCAGGCTTCTGCCCCCTCCTTGCCCCATCTCACAGCATTACTGTGCTTGGCTCCCACCTGCTGCCTGCTGGAGCCTCTTCCTTGTTTGGTTTTGCCTGAGCCCCCGGCCCCCCAGGGTCCTGCCCCTCCCCCTTGCCTTCTGCTTCCCTGCCTCTCCCCTAGAGCCTGTAATAATAAGTCAATCACAGCGTCAGAGGCCCTGGGCATCGGCAGCAGGCTTTCCTACAGATACCCCAAAGCTCTCCAACTGAGCAATTGCTCTCGCCCTGGCACCTGGTCTTCCTCTCCACCAGCACCACCTCATCCAATGACCACCACCCTCCCATCCTCAGGGCCTCCGTCCTGAGGCCACATCAGCTTCCCCCTGCCTTCTTAGCTCATTGTCTTAGAAGACAACTATAAATGTGTCCCTTTCCTGGAGATCTTCAGGTGGCAAGTGGGACACTCAGCCAGCTCTCTGCCCCTTGACTGCCAAGCTCCTCTCAATGCCCTCCGACTTCAGCAGACAGACACTCATGGCCTCCCTTAGGCTCCCCCTGCCCCCCCCCCAACATTGCCCATTCTCCAATCTCATACCGGCTTCCCCAGGAAGGCTCTCCACTGCCCGTCAGCCCAACGGACACCCAGGTAGCCCCCAAACCCACCTCTCTTTTCACCTGTTCACTGAAGCCTTCATTAACACAGCCCCGTCCCAAACCTGTCATTCTGCCTGCTGCCTGCCCTGCCGGCTGGCTGCCCTCCTGGAACCCCTGTGCACTGCTATCACCCTTGCTTTGTTGCGCCAAAGGCAGGCACTAGACAGATCTCCTTCCGCCCCTGCCTTTCACCACTGTGCCCAGCTCTGGTAGAGGCCCAGGCACCCCAAAAGCCCGTGGCACATGTGACAACAGGCTCAGGCCTCCCCGGCTCCATGTCCTGCTTCTCCTCACCTTACCTTGGGGCTAGGTTCAGAAGAGAGGGTCCTGCCCAGGGCCTCCTGCAGCCGCCTGCGCAGTAACTGCTCCTGCTCCCGGTCCTTTCTTCGGGCGGCTGCCAGCCATAGCCGGGGGCCTTCCTCGTCACTGGAGTCCCTGGGAAGCCTCCCATCAGGTGGCCCACAGAGATCCTGGGGGAGGGTGGCCACCCCCCGCCCCCACACACTGCAGCCAGCCCGTCTCACTGGACACTCACAGCTCCAGGTCCAGGTCTCCCTGGTGGGAGAGGGGAGCTGCACACACCGAGCAGGTGTTGTGCAGGAGACGGAAGCAGGTGAGGCAGAAGAGACCTGCAAAATGCCAGGAGGAAAGGAGGGGAATCTGAGCTAGCCCACCCACCCGCCAAGCTCCCCCGCCCCCAGCCCTGGGGAGAAACTGTCCTTGTCCAGGGGCACGCAGGGGCAGCCGCAATGAATGGCTATTCATGAATGAATTCTGTTACCACCGGGGGAATTATGGCAAACTGGGTGAAGATGAGCCCACGAAAACATGCACAGTGATGGAGGGACGGGCCCGGAAGTCCACAGAGGAAGGACCCTGGGTGACTGTCACATCCCATCAGGGAGAGGCCTGAGGCCCGGGAGTCTCACCTTGGCAGCCTGGAGTACTGCAGGACACAAAGTTCTCTGTGTCCTCCTGGGCGTGGGGTTGCCCGCAGCCCAGGCAGTAGTCCTGGTGCTGCCAAAAGTGGCTGACAACCGGATTCAGGCAGGAGAACCTGAAGAGGGGACCCTGACACTGAGCTGGCCAACCCCACCAGCTGACCCCACACCCCATGCCCCCTCCATTCCTCTGAGTGGGGCAGCAGCAGCCTCTGCTTCCAGCCCTCATCCCCCCTTCACTCCCCAACCCCTGGAATTCTCATCTGAGACTCTCCCTCTCAGGACATGGATCTCATGCAATGGGCACCGTCATCAACCAAACCTCTGGACACTTAGGGAGGACAGTGGGCTCACCGTGTGGCCAGCTCCTGGAGGACACTTGTGTGGCCCTGGTCAGCTGCCCGCCGCCTCACGGTTCGGTGCAGAGCAGCCAGCGGACTGCTCCGGCGGCTCAGAAGTAAATTGTAGAGGTAGGAGATCCTCTCCTGGTGGAGGGGAGATAGGGGCTGGGATCCCCCTTGATCCCATTTTATCTGCCTGGAATGCTCTCTGCCTGCATCCCCACTCCCTACCTTTGCCTTCTGTCGAACTCCCATGGAACCCTCTAGGCTTGGCTCAAATGCCCCTTCCTTTGGGAAGCCTCTGGGCTCCCCTAGGCGGGGTTACCTATTTTCTCCTCCAGGTGTTCATAGCACTTCATTCATTCCTTAACAAAAACACTTTTTAATTGTAATATCTTGTCAAAAGCCTATCTGGCCTGGCTCGAGGCTGTGAGCCCCAGCCTGTCTGGTTCACCCTGGCACCCTGGGGGCCAGTGCCGCTACAGGCCTATGCCAAGTGCTCAGTGAATGAGTCCACAAGTGCTGAGTTTCCATTCACACCTGCACATGCTGACACTGCCCCCACCCCACAAGCTTTCAACAAAACATTGGGGGCCAGATCCTCTCAGCAAACCCTGCACCAAGGGGTGCCATTTCCCCTGGCCCCATCAGGCACAAGACCAGCAGACTGGGTGGTTTGCTTAGAGTTCAGCCAGAGAGAGGACTGATGCTGCTGAGACCCTCAGCTCCCCAAACCAAGACAGAGACAGACAGCCTCCAGCTTCACGGGTGGGCACGGGGGGCGCGGAGGTCAACAGGGACACCAGCTGTGACTGTCACCTGCTCCTGGGATGGGTAGTAGGAGGCACAGATGACCCGCCGCAGCCTACTGACATAGCTGCCAAAGAGCGTGACGAAGAAGCAGAGGCCGTACATGATGCCTGCGGGCACAGCAGGGGTAGGGAGTCCCTCTTTGGTCTGCATCCCTCACGCCCCTCACACTGTCTATCCACCCTCCCAGGGGCGTGGTTCCTACCAATGACGACATAACCGGTGCTATTGGGCTCAGAGGGGCGCAGGAGGCAGTGCTGGGACAAGATACTGATATTGCTCTGCTGCAGGACGTCGAACGCCGACACCAGATCACGGTAAACATTCCCAGTATAGCCGGTGCCTTCCACGGTTATGGATACTAACACGGGGCCTGGTGTAAAGGCACGCGGTGAGGGACTATGACAGCAGCAGGAGAGCCATGTGGGCCAGACGGCACCGGTGGGCAGTGTGGCTCTTGTGGACAGCCCCGTACCTCCAGCCAGGGGGACCTGCGGTGCCCTAGGATCTAACCTCAGCCCTTGGCCCCCAGGACTGGCTCCAGGGGTCAGAATTGCCCTGGCTACCCCACTACAGACAGCCTTGGTAGTCAGTGAGTCCATCGCTGCTTCCACAATGGCCCAGAAGCATTGGTTTTAAAGCATTTGCTAAATACCAACTGTGTAGCAGGCACTAGACTCAGTGCTTTATTGATTGTTTGGGGCCTTTTCAAACCTTTTATATTGGACCTCTGGCACACGGACAGACGAGATTACTTATACCCTGTGGTTTACGGCATGCTCCCACCCACTGGACTCCCAGCACTCACCCACACGGCCTCATGTGCCCCTTGGAGCAACCCAAGGGGCTTGAGGCTAGTACTCCAACTCTGAAGGATTAAGGAACAGGCCCGAAGTTACCACTTCCAGAGGGCATGATAGGGATGGAGCCTCAGCCAGTCCGACTCCTGATTCTGTGTTTTTAACTTCTCTGTATGGTATGACCGTGAACCGGACACTGGGGTCCCCTGGCAGAGCCCAGAGTTCAAGGGGAAAAGTCAAGGACCGATGAGTGACAGTGACTTGGGACATCAGGCACTCTCCCAGGACCAGGCAGGACGCCAACCAAGGGGCTGCAAGGGGGAGGGCCGAGGAAGGTTTAGGCACTCACTGCGGGCCACAATCTCCCCCTGCAACTGGTGCCGTGCCAAGTCCAGCACCCAGAAGACGGCATAATCCAGGAAGACCAGGAGCAGCACGAGGAGGAGGTGTCGGACAAGGTTGAAGATTGCCAAGACATAAAATATCTGCTCCCACCGGGACAAGAAGATGGAACCTGGAGGGGACGGGGGTCAGGAGGACGCTACTCCACCCCCCACCCACCAGACTCTAGGTCCTGGAGGGGTCTCCCTCCCCCCACTGAGCTGGGGCCTACTTATCCACCTGCTGTGGAAGCTGTGAGGACTTCTGGGCAAGGGTGGGCAGGAGCTCTGAGGCTGGAGGGACCATCCCTCCTGGGGCATCCTCCCCCCCGCCCCCCAGGCTGTTTCTCCCATGTGAACGTGTCCACACATCCCTTGGTTGGCATCCACTCCCCATCTATGCTTCCCTCTGTCTGGATGTCCGGGGCTCCTGGAAGCATCATGTGCCCTTATTTATGTATGCGTGCATGCCATGTGGGGCTCTCCTTTCCCCTTGTGGAAAGAGGACCCCCCAAAGACAGCTCCCCCTGAGCTTGGGACCTCAGGTCAGGCCTGTGAGGTATCGGGGCCTCTGTCCTCAGGCCTCAAGGCGCTCACCAGGCTGGATGTAGTGCCTGGCCTCGTGGGCACTGAGTGGCAGCACCGTGGGCAGTCCTGCCCTGGAGCGGACAGCCTCCATGTGCAGGAATCGGCTGGTGATGTAGACGTTGTCGTAACTGATCCAGTTCAGGTAACAGTACCGGTAGAGCAGAGCTCTGAAGGAGGACACGTGTGGCCCCTCAGCACCCAGACCAGACCAACCCACAGGGTACCCCCCTCCCCACCCTCCAGGCACATCCCCAAACTCCAGCCCTTCAGGAGGCCCGGGGAGGGGCTGGCCCCCCGCAGCCCGAGTCCCCCAGTCCCACACTGAAGGTAGAGAATCGTGAGCAGCAGAGGTGTGGTGTAGCCCATCAGAGCCAGGGCCTCTCGGACGTGGTACAGCTTCAGGGTGACAGCTTCCTTGAGGTCCAGAGCCACCTGGGACAAGCTCCGGGAGGCGTTGAGATCCACAGAGAAGTGGTGGGCAACTGTCACGTTGAACTCAAACTCCTGTCGCACTCGGTTAATTAAATTCATCACAGCTGGGGCCAACAGGTGCAGGGGGGCCGAGAGCCAGGATACTTAGGGGAGGGGGCCCTGGCACAGTTCACCCACCAGCCAAGACCCCATGCCAGGACCTGCTGTGGACTGAGGAGGGGACGAGGTCCACACTGCCCAGTCTATAGTGCCACATGCCTGACCCCAAGGCCCCTCACACCGGGGGCCTGGGAGTGGGGGCCACAGGAGCCCCCCCACCCTCTCCTCTGTCCTCTAAAGTCCAACTTTTGCTGAGACACTGCCCCCTGGCTGAGCCTCACTTTCCTGGGCACCTTCCCTGACCCCACCCCGCCTTCTCCCTGGGTCCCAGGAGCACTTGGGGAGATTGCCCGGAGCAGAGGAGCTTGGGGGGCCACTCACGGGTGCCCAGGGTCTTGCGTAAGAAGGGTTGGATGTACTTGGGGATGACACAGAACACCTGAACCACTGACACCCAGAGACTGGGTGTCAGGAGGGCCAAGAGACACAGCCCTTCCTGCCTCTGGAGACTGAGCGCTCAGAGGCTTCTCGCTTTTTTCCCTCACCTCTGCACTGGCTTTGAACTCCCCCCCACCCCTCCACCCCCACCACCCCCACCCCCACCCCCAGGCCCTGCCCTCTGAACTCCCCCCTTGTCTTCCCAGTACTGCCCAAGCCCTGGCTGTCTCACCACTGGCGAGTCCACAGAGCACTAGCTTGAAGGGCATGAACACATAGCACAGGTGGTGGGCACGTGGTATAAGCATCATGCAGTTGTCCTTGGCATTTTCGAAGACGTGTGCACACTTCACGTACGGGTTGCCTAGCTCTGAGTTGCACACATCACCAATATGCAGGAGCCAATACCACACGTTCCTCAGGGCCCTGGCTGGGGACAGTGGCGGGGCTGGTACCCAGGCCTGCAGTCCTGCAGTGTCCTCTTGGGCACTCGGGGACAGCAGGACAGCTCCCTGAGCCAGAGAGGCCTATGGGCAGAGGCCTGGCTGTGCTGTATCCAGTGGGGGCTAGTCAGCACCCGGGTCAGGGACAAGGTGAAGAGACACCACACCCCCCAACAGACATGCTAACTGTGCTGACCTATATGCTTCACACCATCCATGATTGACCGAAAGAACTTGCGTACCCGGTCAGCCACCGCTTTGGTCTTCTGGGCAATGGCTTTAATCTTGCTCAGAGCACCTGAGAGGCAAAGGGCAGGACCCATATGGGGCTGGTTCTCACCACTGCTCCTGGGGTAGGAAGTGGAGAGGAGGCTGACACTTAGAAGCTGGGACACCTGGACGCCTGTGTCTGGGAAGTGGACAAGCTGGTGGCAGAGCAGACCAGTGAGCAAGGATCAGGGTATCTAACTGGACTCTTTGAGGTTAGGGCCCAGCGCCAAGAGCAGAGAGGAATGGAGCCAGAGAGCTGCAGGATGCAAAAGCCAGGGGGACATGGGGGCTGGCTGGGGCTGGGAGGCCTTACTGACAAGAGGCTGCTTGGCCCGCTCCAGCACTTCAGCAGTCTGGTTCAAGGCCAGTTCGGCCCCACAGGCCACAGCCTCGCTGGCCTGTGTGAAGTTGCGCAGCATGTTGGCACAAGGTCCTTGCAGCACCAACCCAAAGGCAGCTACCAACAGCAGTGTCCGGCCGTGCTCTGGGGTGGACAGCTTATCAGAACCAGGACCCCAGCCCCGCACACACAGTAACATCTGCAAGTCTCTCACAGAAGCTTCCAGAATATTTCCCTCAAATCTCCTGTCCCCCAAGATCCCTCCTGCCCCAGGCCCTGCTCCTGCCCTAGACCCTGCCCCAGACCTTGTCCCTGCCCCAGACTGTGTCCCTGCCCTAGACCCTGCTCCTGCCTTATACCCTGCCCCTGCCCCAGACCCTGCCCCTGCTTAGACCCTGCCCCTGCTCCTGCCCCTGCCCTAGACCCTGCCCCTGCTCCTGCCCCTGCCCCAGACCCCTGCCCCTGGCACCAGGCTCACTGGAGAATGCCTGAGGCAGCAACAGGAAGACAGTGACCCGGACCTGGCGGGAGAATCCCATGCCCAGGCTGAGGAAGGTGGCCAGAGTGAGGGTGCCCACCAGGCAGCCCCAGGGGCTATGTCCTTCTACCAGCAGCTCTAGGAGACCATAGGCTGTGGCCAAGGACAAGCCCAGGCTAAATGCCCCCATGCTGCGGACTGCAGCCCGCGTCATGCTGGACTCCTCTGCCCCCAGGGGGTACACCACGTCCTTTGAGACTTTGGGCATGGCTACTGAGACCAAATGTCGGCCTGTCTCCAGGAGATGCCCACCAGGTTCCAGGGTCCTGGAATTCCTCACCACATTCTAAAGTTCCGGAGGCTCAGACTGTTTCTGTCTTGGAGTGCCTGAGCCAGCTTCAGGACTGGGGAGGGGGCAGGAGACTCTAATCTCCTTCCCCAAGACTCAGGGCAGAAGACACAGACCTCACTCAGGCTGTGGGGGTGGCTGAGGGGACCGAAGCAGACCTCTGTGCCCAAGGACATCCTTGAGGACACTTGTGGGACAGCAGAGGGTCCCCAGAGCAGACTTATGGCCATCAGACTTCTTCAGGACGGAGCAACCAGGCAAACAGGGAAGGTCCCCCACACCAGTGAGTGGGTCACAGAGATCCTGCCCTGTCCCAGGGCCCAAGCCCCTCTGGGCCTCTCACCCCGTCTCTCCTCTTGCACCTGCACACCCCCCCTTCACCATGGGTCCCCAGCATCCAGCCCTCTGACCCAGTGCCCCCCTCCAGCCAAGCCCTTTCCTCTTCTCTCCATCCCACCTTCCTTGAGTCCTCAGGGTCCCTCATGCTCCTTCAGGATGCCCCCCATCCAGTTCCTTCCCCACCCTGTTCCTGCCATTCCCCCCCTCCCCGCAGGCCCCTGATCCTAATGAAGCACATCCCCACCAGAGGGATGGGCTGTTGGCCCTGCAGGGCTAACCTGTCTGACCCCTCAGCACTGCAGAAGCTCCTGAGCTGGGGGCTGCCTGTCATGGGCAACCGATTCCTGCAGCGCCAGCCGGGCGAGTTCCCTGTGTCTGCTTTTCTGCTGGGGGCAAGCACTGGAGGGCTCCTGGCTGTGGGTGAGTGGGGGGCAGAGGTTGGTGGGTGGGAGACCTGTCCTTCGACCTCTGGCTTGACCCTGCACTCTCAGGTCTCTTCCAGCTCCTGGTGAACCCTATGAACATCTATGAAGATCAGAAGATGGTGACATTGTACAGCTTGGTGGGTGAGTGCTGGCGACGGACAGGGAGTCTCCAGAGGCCTGTGGGGCCGCAAGAGTCTAGGTGCCCAGGAAGGAATCTGGCCTTGTCTCTTCTGTCCCAAGCGGCCCTCATGGCCCAAGTCTCCTCTTGGGCTCTGAGGGGAGATCCAGGGAGAAGAGGCCCCCGGTCTACAGAAGGAAACCCAGTCTTTGTCCTTCAGGAGCCTCCCCAGAGAAGGACTCTGAGTTAGCCATGTGATGCCCTCAAACCCCAGGGCCCGAGTCTGCTGACCTCTCTGACCTTGTGTCCCTCTCCTCCCGGTTCCATCCATTCATTCATTCTCTCATTTGCTCATTTATTCAGTGTGCACCAAGCTAAGGCTTCACCAGCCGATAGGGTCACAGGGGGAGGAGGCAGTGGAGAGACTTGGGCAGGAAAGGAACAAGAAAGGAACCAGAGTACTTCTGCTGGTGTGAAAAGAGGCACAAAGAGAGCAAGCTGAGGGCGTAGGGGAAAGGGGCTGGGGAGGCAGGGGCTGAGTAGTCAGGAAAGGGTTCTTGGAGGTGACACTGGGCCGAGGGCCTGGTGTCAGCAGTTGTCAGGCTATGAGAACAGAAATCCCACCTGAAAGTGGTTTAACCACAGAGAAAGTTGATTATCTCATGTAACAACAAGTTTCAAGGTTGAGCAGTCTTTGGAATTTGGATAATTCAGCAACTCAGTTCACCCCCCAAGGACCCAGGGGCCAGCCTCTTTTCCCTGCCATCTTTGACCTGGTGACCATTTGTCTTCAGGTCATGCAGTGGCTGCAGCAAGTCCAGGCATCTCATCTTCATACCCAATGTTGGAAGACTGGAACATTCCTTCCTTAGGTCTCTTTTAAGAAGGAGGAAAACTTTCCCAGACCCCCAGCTAGCTTCCCCATCCTGTCCATCCCACGCCTGCCTAGTAGGGCCCTTGCTAGCTCACTCAATGAACTGACCTGTGTGGACACCCAACCACCCACAGCCTACCCCCACGGGCAGCCTTTCCCATGCACCCTTTGCTTACTGCTTGTTTTCATTGACAAGACCCAGTCCTGCTTCTATAATTATGACTATTTCTAGGGTTGGAAAGGTCCGATGCAGTGTGTATGCAAATCCCACCTCATGGCACTCTCCAGCATCTTCCCTCCTGGCACCACGATCCACAGGCCCCTGGCTGCTGGCAGGAGGGTGGGGGGTCTCCACATGGCCCACCCTCCTTTCTCCACTTCCTTATCCTTCTGGTTCTTCTGATGTCAGAAGGGATTAGAAGGACAGAAAGCCAAAGTTCTCAATCCTGGGAGAGCCCCACTGCCTCTGGGCAGCAGAGCTGTCCCGCCTCGGGGTCTCTTGTGGTCTCTCTCTAGAGGCTCTGTGTGGACCTTGAGGTCCAGTTTCCTGCGGAGAGTAGTTCTATTTGTTCACGTCTTGTAGCTCCTGCCACCCACAGACCTTATGTTTAGGTGGCTGTCTGCAAACGGGCTGCCCTCTTGGACGGAGAACCTCACAGAAGGCTTAAGGCCTGCTGACCTCCAAAATGTCCACTTGTCCCAGGGAAGATGCACACGTCCTTGCCCTGCCAAAGTGGGAAAGCAGGCATGTGCAGCTGCCCACCCCCCTACCCCCATGGAGAGCAAGCAGGCTCTAGATCACGTTCCCCCCCCCCATCCCCAGAGGCCTGGCCAGCACTGCTGTGACCTCTCCTCCCACTGTGGGCTCTAGGTGTGCAGCTCAGCAGAAGCCACCTCCCCCTCTGCTCTAGTCTCAGCCGGGTGCCCATGAGGTCTCCCCCCTGGGCCTGAAACTGGACACCCGTCCTCTCTTTAGACTCTCCTGCCATGTCTGCTTATTCCAACTGCTCGTCTCCTCTTCCAGAAAATCCCAGAGACTAGTTATGTCCTTCAGGTGAGCTCAGAGAGGGTACCTAGCCCCACGGGCTCTCTGTAGAGTATAGGGCAACTACTGCCAACTCCATCCTTAGCCTGAGTCTTTGGCCAGAAGATGAGACAGCAGAACAAACCCCCTCTGATGTCTGGTTATACCATGATTGGGTTCGACAGATCCAGATTCACTCCTAGGTGTGGGGCAGGGACAGGATGTTGCCCTTGAACTAAACTCAAGTTGTATTAGCAAGGAAAGAGGCAGACAAGCTGTCGGGTGGTACCAGACAGGGATCATAGCAAACCTGTATGACGAGGTACAGCTGGCCAGGTGAAGAGCCACGCTCCTGGCAGAGGGAGCTGCCGGAGAAGCACAATGAGCTTGGCACACTCCAGGCCCAGCAACAGGCCTGTGTGGGAGGACGGGGTAGGCAAAGGGCTGAGCAGCCTGGCAGCAGCTAGGCAGGCGCCCCAGTACAGGGGTCTGCATACCATGTTGAGGGAGCCTGGACTGGTCCCCAAGTGTGGTCCAACATCAGTGGTAGTTTGGAGCAGAGAAGGGACAGGGTCAGATTTCTGTGTCTACAAGGTCACTCTGGCTACAAGTTAGTGAGAGAACAGAAGCAGAGGGCCAGGTAGCCCCCCTGAAAGGCGACGGGGACCCTGCGAGGGCCAGGGGCATAGACAGACCTTGCTTAGGCCATGAGGGTGCTGGCAAGCACTCCATCCCAGAGTGGGCAAGCCCAACTCTGCTGTCTCTTTGGCTTGGAATGCTGTCCTGCCTCCTCACTACTTTACTCATCTTCCAGACCTAGCTGACACGTCAGCTGCTTTGTCCAGCCTTCCTGGCCCCACCCTCCCCGCAGAACCGCCTGCGTCCTCTGCTCCCACCACCCTGGAGAAGGAGAAACACTCTGAGTTGTAGTCATTTGTTTATTCGCCGTCTCTCTCCCTGCATTACGAGCTCCAAGGAGCTCTCTGTGTCTCCTTGCAGAGACCACAGGGAGACACACATGAAACTGCTAACACAGAGTGTTACAGAGAGGGACGTGATTAAGGGCTGACATTAGGGACGGCGATTGCCAGCGGGGCAGGGGTCAGAGCACGGGAAACCGGGAACCACAACGTGGCTCCAAGTACCAGTGACTGCAGAACTCTCTTGCTCTCCCTGCTCCCTCAGCACCTCGCTGGCACAGAGGACGGCTTCCCCTTCCTGCGTGTACACACACATACACACACCCTCAGTCACTGACCAGGGCTCTTGGACCTCTGGTGTCTCTCTGAGCCCCTCCAGAGCCACCACACAGCTCAGCTCTGTAAACGGCTGTTCACTCAGTACACAGATGAGTGGAGCTGGGGTAAATGGGGTAAAGGCAGTGTGGTGATGGTTCTAGAAAGAAGTTGGGGTGTGGGTGCTCTGCTAAGCCTGGTGAGTCACAGCATCCTCCCTTGGCCTCAGCACCTGCTGGTTTCTCCCAACAGGCTTGGGGGTCGTGGGCTGGGGGACCTCCCCGCACATCCGCTGTGCCAGCCTCCTGCTTGTCCCTAAGATGCTGGGCAAAGAGGGCAGGCTCTTCGTGCTGGGATACGCCCTGGCTGCCATCTATGAGGGTGAGTCTGTGTCCCTGGGTAGCAGTCTGTGACCTGAGCAAGGATCCCAGGGGGCCATCCGGTGAGACCCAGGGAAGGAGGAAGAGTGGGAGTCTGATCCCAGCTGCTCCAATTCGCTGTGTGCCCCAGACAGTGCCTCTGCATCTCTGGGTCCCCATGCCTCACCCAGGTAAACACAAACAGCAGGTGAGGGCATGACCGCTCCCAGGCTCTGGGGTCCTACCACGGTACAATTCTAGAAGGCAGTCAATGTATGCAGAGCAGGTACAAAGGGGGCCTTCAGGAAGTGGCTGGCTCCAGAGGGAGACCCACCAGGACATCTTCCCCCAGGACCGGCGGCCAACCTGCGGAACAACCTCAACGAGGTGATCTCGTCGCTGGGCTGCACTGTACAGCTGCAGATCAACAACACACGCAAGGCCTGGCGTGTCTCCGTGGGTCCGCTGCGGGCAGTGCTCAAGGATCTGCTGGTCAGGACCTTGCACGGGCAAGGCCTGGGCCCCACTCCCCAGGGGCCCGGAATGATTTGTGATCCTGGACTTAGTTTCCCAATGGGGCACCACTGGCATTTTTTGCAGGACAGTCCTTAAACATTGCAGGATGTGCCCTGGGCAGTAACTGCTGGGGAAGCCCCCACCCCCAGTCATGGGACACACAACCCCCACCCTTCGTTTCCAAACACCTGGGTAGGCAGTACTCTGGGCAGCTGGAAACTGGGGGCCTTGGCCTGAGGAACCAGGAAGCTCTGAGGCCCCAGGGATCACAGAATTGAGCTGGGAGGACTGGAGGCTGGGGTGTGGGAGAATTGGAGAGTTGGGGAGACTGGGGACATGGAGATGTCATAGGGTCTGGGTGGTTAGTGTGAAGTCCAAGGGTCTGGGAATCCTGTCACTAGCAGGGATCTGAGACGGGGGCCTGCGAGAAGCTGGGAGCTGCGCAGGGGCAGAACCGGGGCCACTGGTGACAGGAAGCTGGGGTCCCTGAGGACTGAAGAGTGGAGCACAGAGTGAGAGGCCTCTCAGGGGCCTGGGCTCCTCGGCTGCCCCGCTGACCACAGCTCCTTCCTTGCCCTCCAACCCCAGGCCAGCAAAGATTCACTGAAAGCCGAGACTCAGAACATCACCAAGTCCTTTGAGGACCTGGATGACCAGGTGAACAGCGAGACTGGCTACACACTGGAGAACTCCATGGGCTTGGAGGGTACAGCCCGAGGTGGAGAGATGTACCGAGCTGTGCCATCCAGGTACCACCTCTCCACACAGAAGATGTATGAGCTGAAGACCAAGCTGCGCTGCTCCTGTGAGGGTCGTGCTGGACACAGGCTGGGGCCGGGGCTCCAGGTTGGGGCTGGGGCCTCACCTGCTCCTTGCCCCTTCCTGCAGATGTGGTGGACCAGGCCATCCTCAGCTGCCAGCGCTGGTTTGACCAGAAACACAAACAGTGCATGCAGCGCATCTGGGTTCCGCTGCTCAACCACCTGCTCTGCTTGCCCATGAAGTTCAAATTTTTCTGCAGCATCGCCAGGGGTCGGTGGGGTGAGGGGAGGGTGGGGACACCAGGCCGGGGACTGCTGGGTGGGCATATGGGTAGGAAAGCCCGAAATGGGCAGGGCACAGATGCTGAGGGCACCCCCAACCCTTCTGCTGGCTGGCTCTGCCCCCCAGCTTGTGCTCAGGCAGGCTCTGAGATCTGTCTGTTCATCTGAAGGATGGGCATAATAATAGTCCTTATCCCCTTAGGGGGTTTTGAGGATTTAAGGGAGCAATACATGTGAAGCAAGTAACATACAAAGGAATTCTCTTATAAATGTTGCCATCACTATTCATAGTTGGCATGGTTACAAATAGGTGAGAAAAGTGAGGGAAAATTGGGCTTTGTTCCCGGGACCCAAGATCCAAGCAGAGCAGAAAGGGGAAAGCCTCAGTGAGGAAGGAGGTCATGGGCAGACAGGCACATAGCTGGACAGAGGAACCGCAGGTGGGGACGTGGGCGGTGGGAAGCGGGCACAGGCCCCCAGACTCTGACCTGTACCCCCACCCCACAGCGATGGAGGTGTGGTGCCGCAGTCGCATCCCTGTGGAAGGCAACTTCGGGCAGACCTATGACTCTGTCAACCAGTCTATCCATGACCTGGGTGGGGAGTTTTCAGCCACTATTGATCTCAAGGTAGGAGGCAGGGGCTGGGATGAGCGAGGGAGTGGGTGGAGGGCACAGGGCATGGCCAGAGCAGATGAGGAGATGAAGGGGTAGGGGAGAGAACGAGGCCGGAACGGGGCTGGTGCTGGGTGACAGGGAGGGGGCAGTGCCAGCCTGTGGTCTGCCCGGGCCTGACTCTGGGTTCCGCAGGTCAGCCAGATGTGAGAGGGCGTCAGCCTGGGAGTGGGGCCGGGCGGAGGAGGGTGCTGCGCCCCAGGGCGTTAGGTGTCTGCACACAGGGGTCCTGCAGGTCCCGGGGAGAGCTGGGGCAACAAGGGGTGGGGCAGCGGCTGGGCGCAGATGGCAAGGAGGGTCGTGCCTGCACCTGTGCCCTCCACCAGGAAGAAAAGCAGGCGTGGATGCTGGGCCTCAACACGAGCTGGGAACACGTGAGCGCGGAGCTGCAGGACTATGTCCTCCAGCAGGAGGCCCAGCTGGAGTGGACGCTAGGGCTGCTGCGAGTACTGTTGTCCTGCACTTTCCTGCTGGTTTTCCGCATGTGAGCCCTCCATCCCTGATGCCCCAGGGTCCCTGACAGAAGACCCTGCCCCCAACCGAGGGGGCTTAGCAGCACAGAGACATGCTGCCCACTGCCAGTGCTCCCACCACCTTGAAAGGGAGACGGCCTCCCTTCATCTGCCTCTTTTGGCCTTCATCACAGCACTGACTTCTTTTACTCTCAGCTCTGACTTTTGATTTTTCTCTTGCCCTTCATATTCCCCTTGGCTCTGACTTTGCCCATTTTTATCGTCCAACCCTGCTTTCATTTTCTGCCGCCTGCTGTGTTGGCAGCCACTTTCCCTCCATTTGGACCAAAGTCCTCAACCCCACCCAGCCGGGTGTCCAGCTGGGCTGCCCTGGGCCTCACTGGGTCTCCCTGCTGACCTCTGGACCCTGTTTCCTGTCTCCGCCCCCAGAGTCCTGAGATGCCGGGCAAGGGGAGTGCGGGAAGGGTGGGGCTCCTGCTCAGAGCCCGTCTGTGGGGCAGGTGTGTGCCGAGGGCCCAGTGCGAAGACAGAGATGAGGGCACTGTCTTCCTGCTCTCAAGACGCTGGTAGTCTAGGGGAGGCCAGAGAGGCACCCAGGAAACACAGATGGTTGGAGGGCTTGGCTACCCCCTGGCTCTGGGAACAGGGGTGGGAGCTGAGGACATGCCCCTGCAAAGGCCATCATTGGGGTTCAAAAGGCTGCAGGTGGGGAGACACGGTCAAGGAAAGGAAGGAGTTCTTTTGGGGCAGAGATCACTGCTTCTGTGGGGTGTAGATGGCAGAGGCTGGGCTAAAGGACGGGACTGAAGCAGTTGTGGCCAGAAGAGTCTGGAAAGCCCTGCAGGCTGTAGGCTGGGAGGCCAAGGTGGGTCAGGGGTTAGAGAGCCTGGGGGGGAGCAGGGCGTGGCAGGAAGCTGGCCTGAGATGGCGGCAGGAAGAGGAAAGGTGCTGCAGGTCTCAAAGCCAGTTTAGGGAGGGCGGGGAGAGAGGGAGGAGGCAGAGTCGGCTTCCAGGCTCTGAGCCTGGGCAAGGGCCCTGGCCAAGGCGGCGAGGCCCGAGCTGGCCAGAGGGCGGGGAGGGCGAGCGGACGGCTGCCACACGGGGGCGCTCACGGGCTGCCTCGGCATTTACTGCGCTTTCGGCCTTTGAGGAGGATTTTTACAGGGTTTAGTACCACTGGCGCTGGAACTCATGTTTCACAGTTTACAGAGAGTATTTGAAGTAACTTTCACTTTGAAACACATCCCCAGTAATTAACATCTTTTCCTTAGGAAACCGAAGCATCATGTGGGACTTTGGGACGTGCACCCGGAAGAGCCCCTTACCAGCACACAACAGAAAACACTGCTTTCTCAAGGGTTTACGGGAAAGGAGGGAAATGTAGGTGGGGGATGAGTTTTGTTTGAAGTGACCTCCAGGTGTACTGCCGGCTGGGTCCAGAGGTGGATGTGGGAGTCCAGCGTAATGGCTGGTGGTTCTTTTTTTTTTTTTTAATTTTTATTTATTTTATGATAGTCACAGAGAGAGAGAGAGAGAGAGAGAGAGAGAGAGAGGCAGAGACACACACAGGCAGAGGGAGAAGCAGGCTCCATGCACCGGGAGCCCGATGTGGGATTCGATCCTGGGTCTCCAGGATTGCGCCCTGGGCCAAAGGCAGGCACCAAACCACTGCGCCACCCAGGGATCCCTGGCTGGTGGTTCTGTAGCCTTGAGGGGTTCCCCGCCTCTCTCTGCCTTTGCTCCTGCTGCTTCCTCTGCTTGAGATCCCGCCAGCTGGATCCACACCTGGGAAACCTCCCCTCTCGCCTGGGCACATGATCCTCCCTGCCTTTTCACCTGTGTCTCCTTGCTTGTATGGGTACCCACCTTGCACCAGACTGCAGGCTGCTGACAGAGTGTCTCTGCCATGCTGGGTGGTCTGGGGAATGACCGAGCATCAGGAAGCCCGTGGTTGGGGATGGGTGAAGAGAGCTTGGAGGACATGGAGATGTCTTCATGCACAGGTCCTTCTCCTATGTGGACAGCTACAATGGCGACATCCGCTTTGACAACATCTATATCAGCACCTACTTCTGTCAGATTGATGAACGCAGGAAGAAGTTGGTGAGTGGGCACAGCCCTGACCACAGGCACCTTGCTGTGTGCCCTCTGTGGCTTCAGGCTCCAGAAGGTCAGAGGGCCAAGGGGAGAGGGCCCTGGTGTCCCTCACAGGTTGGACATTTTATCCAGGGCAAACGGACTTTGCTGCCACTCCGCAAAGCCGAGGAGAAGACCATCATCTTCCCCTATAATCCCACCATGCAGGCCTCGGAAACAAAAAATGTGGTGAGGATAGAGTGGGGGGAGGCCCCTAGAGCCAACTGTGGGCTGGGCATGCAGGGTGAAGGCAGAGGCATCAGGAGGCCTCCGTGCAGGGCGGGCGGTGCTGCCCAGCTCAGGGCCTGCTCTCCTCTGACAGGTGAGAGAGCTCGTGGAGACAGTGCCTGTTCTGCTCCTGTTGCTGCTCCTCTGTGGCCTGGACTGGGCTCTCTACTCAATCTTTGACACCATCCGCCACCACTCCTTCCTACAGTACTCCTTCCGCAGTGAGTGATGCCCATCCACATGTGGCCACTTCTTCTAGTTCTGGCCCCTCCTTCTGGGGCCCAGCCCCTCACTGACCTGCTCAGGGTCAGGTCTCAACCCTGCAATCTGACAGCTGTCACTGGAGGGCTCTGTCTCCAGGCCTCCTTTATTTCCGCCACAGGGAGGGCTTAGCACTCAGTGGAGGGATGGGAGGGCCTGGGTAGCAGAGGATATCTATGTCTTGACCCACCCCACCTACATCCAGTCCCCATCCTGCCTCATCCCCTAAACTGCAATCCTTTCCTGACCTCCCACACCTCAGGCAGCCATAGATTGGAGGTGAAAGTCGGGGGGGACTCCATGCTTGCCCGGCTTCTTCGGAAAACCATTGGAGCCCTGAACAGCTCCTCGGAGACAGTGGTGGAATCAAACAACATGCGTGAGTGATGCTGAAAGTCTGGGTCAGAGGAATTGAGGGCGGGGGCCAGGGTCTTTCCAAGGTGTGGCAAGGGGGGGGGCAGTCAGCATGCTGGGGTTAGAGGCATCAGAGCAGGAAATGTCCGGTCAGACTTGAATTGCTGGAAGATGGCAGCCTTGAGTCAGAGCAGTGTAGGGGTGGAGGCCTTGGGGACAAAGGATCCCAGCCTTAGAGCAACACTGCGAAACAGAACTTTCTGCCATGATGGAAACCTCTCACATCTGTGCCATGTTGAGCAGAGCCTCAACAGCCGGGTAGCTATGGTGTGGAAGGTGCAGCCTGGCAGGGGGAGGGCTAGGCAAGGTCATTGGAGGCCTAAACTGCACCCCATCCCAGCGGGGTTCCCTGCCCTCAGCCTTGGCCGACCCCTGATGGGCCCACCTCTGCCCAGCCTGCCTGCCCCAGCCCATGGCTCTGGATGCCAGGGCTTATCTGAGGGCCGCACTCCCCATGGGCCTGCTGCTGTGCCTTTGCCTGCTCCAGGCCTTCGCCTACCGACTTCGGAGGGTCATCACAGCCTTCTACTTCCCCAAGGTACACCCTCCCACAAACTCCCCAGCAACCCCGCCCTGAGGGGCAGCACTGTCAGTGACCCCTTGTCCCCGGCCCCAGAGAGAGAAGAAGAGGATTCTGTTCCTCTACAATGACCTGCTGAGGAAAAGGGCGGCCTTTACAAAGTTAAGAAGGGCTGCCATCGTGAGGCGGGCACAACAGCAGAAGCCTCCAGTAAGTCCAGGCCTTTCTCCCATGGCTCCTGTGGTTGTGAGGACCGTGGAAGAGGAGCCTCCCAGCAGGCTGGCCAACCCCAGGGGCCCAGCCCACGGAGCTCAGCGAGTTCTGAAGTGATGCATGCCAAGGGCCCTGGTCATCCAGCTTCTGGGGTCAGGGCTGCATCCACCTCCGGTCCCCCAGGATTCAGCCCAGCCTGAGATGCTCAGTGGGCCCTCAGGAGGCAGTCAGGAAGGGGGAATCAGATTTGGTACAGTCTGGCTAAAAGTAAGCAAAGGACTCCCCCAGAAACAAGTGACCCAACACAAGCCACAGGTTCTACTGAGAGGCTCAGTGTCTTTGGGGGAGGCAGGGAGGCATCGGGAAGGGCCAAGTGGAGTAAGGAACAAGCACAGAGCAGAAGAACCAGCTCCCAGTCCACACTTCCTCATTAAGCTGCATGACCTTGGTGGTCCTCCCCCGACCTCAGTTTTTCCCTCTGAAGCACTGATGTGTAAGGCCTGTGCAGAGATGAGTAATAGCATGGCAGCGGGGTGCCAGTGAGGTGCCAGTGCCAGAGGGCCTGGGTTTGAATCCTGGCTCCTTTCTTTATTGCCATGACAACTGTGATCTGGAGTACTTACTTAAATGCTGGCCGTCAGTTTTTCCCTTCTGGAACACAGAGTGAACTACTGTTCCATCTGGTTGTTGGAAAAACGAAGGGAGTCTCACTCTCATGGAGCAGGCACCTAGCAAGCTCCATGCACACACTAGCTGTCACCATGTAACTCAGGGCAAGAGACTGCCTTTCCACACATGTTTTCTCATCTGAAAAAGAAATGATAAGGAGCCTGTTTTACAGGGCTATTGGGCTTTTAAAAAACATATTTTTTACTTAAATTCAATTTGCCAATATATAGTATTACACCCAGTGCTCATCCCATCAAGTGTCCTTAGTGCCCATCACCCAGTTACCCCATCCCCCCACCCTCCTCCCTTTCTGCAACCCTTTGTTTCTCAGGGCTATTTTTTTTTTAAATGGGCTCCATGTATTTAAAGATTTTATTTATTTATTCAAGAGAAACACACAGAGAGAGAGAGAGAGAGAGAGAAAGAGGCAGAGACACAGGCAGAGGGAGAAGCAGGCTCCATGCAGGGAGCCTGACGTGGGAGTGGATCCCGGGTCTCCAGGAACAGGCCCTGGGCTAAAGGCAGCGCTAAACTGCTGAGCCACCCGGGCTGCTCATGGCAGCCATTCTTAATCAGCCCCAACAGAGCTGTAAAAGTGAGAGACTATCTTTGCTTGACTCCCTCCCCCACCCCCACCCCCACCCCACCCGGAGCCTAGATCTCCCATCACACACAGAAGCTAAATGAATATCCGATGAAAAAGTGAGCGTACTGTGATTCCATGACCTAGTCATGAAGTAAACTGGATTTTGGTGGGAAGGTAGAAATGTGAAGGGCATTCCTCTGGAGCTAAGGGAACAGAACGTGCAAAGACTCAGAGCCCAAAGGGACTCTCAAGGGCCAGGGTGAGTCTGAGAGGCTGATACAGGAGATACAAAGTTCAAGGTGGACTGAGAGCAGAAGCTGGAGAGGGACCAGAGTGTGGAAAACTCTGAAGGCCAAGGCCAGGGATTCTGCCTTTGACATGCAGTGGGGCCTCCGGTTTCTTGAGCAAAAACTGCCCTGATAAAGTGGCCTGCAGAGAATTCCTGGCCATTGTCTGGCAAGAGGGTGGAAGCATTCTGAATCAGACCTGGGATCTGCAATCAGGGGACCTGGGGCCAGTCGGGTTTGCTTGCTTACTGTCTGTGCACTTTGGGAACTCACATAACCCTTGTGAGATTCTGCTTCTCACCTGTCAAATGAACCTAGCAGCGATAATCGATAATCGGAGCCCACCATGAGAACCAGATAAGGTGGACTATGGGAAAGTTGCTGCTCCGGGCTGGGGGGTAGTGGGAGCAGCATTCCCTCCCTCTCCATGGCCGAGTGGGGGGGGGGGCGGGAAGGGAGGCTCTCTAGACCCACTTCCCCAGCACCCCTGCAGCCCCTGCAGTCCAGGGCGCTCAGCACGTGGGCCCTGGCAGGCGCCGCGCGCTCCAGCGCCCCTCGCACCCCTTCTTTCGCCCTCGCTCCGCAGCACCGCGGCCTGGCGGCCGTCCTGGACCGCCGCTGCCCGCTCCTGCGCCGCTGGCTGCGCCGGCGCTGCGTGGTGTGCCAGGCGCCGCAAACGCCTGAGGCCTACCTGTGCCCGACGCCGGACTGCGGGGCCGTGTACTGCCAGTCGTGCTGGGACGACATGCGTCGGCGGTGCCCGGCCTGCACCCCGCGCGAGGAGCTCTCGTCCTCCGCCTACAGCGACAGCAACGACGACGCCACCTACGCGGAGTGAAGGGGCGTCCTGTCCTCCCGCTCCCCGCGCTGAATAAAGGCCCGTCTGCGCCAGACGCCCGCGCGTCCCAGGGGTCTGACTGGCAGTCCGCAGCCCCGGGCCGCCGACGTGACGTGGGAGGGCAGCCACGCTGCGGGGATGGGGTTCGGGCCGGCCGGGTGGAGGCGCGCCGCCCAAGAGGGTAGGACCGGGCCTCGGCTCGCAACGCGCGCAGCAGCCGGAGCGCCGCGGGGGCGGGGCGCGGGTCTCCGGGGGGCGGGGCCTGGCCCCTCCGGGGGCGGGGCCTGGTGGCGTCTCCGCACCACCCGGGGAGCCTGGCAGACCCGGCGGCCGCCGCTCCTCGGCGCGCGGCCCAGCACCTGCTGCCCTCGCCCCGCCCGGGGCGCCGCGGCCATGCGGCTGGCGCTGCTCTGGGCCCTGGGGCTCCTGGGCGCGGGCAGCCCTCTGACCTCACGGCCCCTCGCAGATATCGGTGAGTACCCGGCCCGCAGTGGGCGGCGGAGCGGGGAGGACGCACCGGGAGGAGGCGCGGGCTGGAGACCCGCGGAGACCCCCTACCAGAGCGCGGCCCGCCCCGGCTCGCTGTCCTGGCCTGAGGGCCCGGCGATGGAATGGCGGAAGAAGGAGGGGGATGCCGCTCCCCCCTCCACCGCGGTCATCCTCTGCTCGGTCCCCCCGTACATTTCCAGGCTCCGGTGCCGGGCACCGAAGGGCCTGGCCCAGCAGCCCCTCGGGATGGTGGGACAGGGTCGCTGCGCCCCGGGACCGACGTCTTCGCTCCTCTGGGGCCTAGCTGACCATTCCACCCAGTGCCAGGGCGCTGAGTGGGGACGGCCCGTAGGGTTTGGCGGAGAGGCTTCCCAGGCTCCCATCCCGGGCCTGAACGGCCAAGGCACACGCACCCTGGTGTTGATGCTACCAGGAACCAGGCGCAGCGAGCGGGAGGGAGTGCGGGAGGAGCTGGGGGAGGGAGAATTAGCCAGGAAAGAGACTGACACCAACTCCTCCTTGGAAGTTTCACTTCCAGCTGCTGTCTCGGCCTGGGGGCTGGGGGGCGGGCAGGCGGGGTGGGCTGGGCGGAGGAGAGAGGGCCATTGTGGGACCGGGGTGCCCAGGGAGGAAGCTGGGCTGCGGCGACCGGGTGTGCCCGACCGGGTAGGGCCGACAGGGTAGGGGGTTGTTTAGGAAGGGGTGTTTGCACTGCACACCCAGAAATGGGCGTTCCCGGCAGCTCCGCTGTGAGTGGGCACCGGGCCACTAGGCTTCGCCCAGGCTTGAGAGGCAGCGTTCCTAGGGGATGACCGCGGGGGAGAAGGAAGGGGGCTCTCCCCGAGGACCTGGAATGGGCACCCCGGGTGGGGAGGTGCAGGTGGGGCACTGGGGTGAAAGTTGGAAGCCCCACAGAAGCCCCTTCTCTTCGGGATTCTCCTCCAAGTCCCAGCATGCAATGCAGGAGTCCTTCAAGCAGAGAAGGGGGGGGCCTGTGGCCACCAGCTGTGCCCAATGCTGCTTCGGCTGCCACCTCTCTCAGCACCCTCTCGGGGGTCCTGGGGGCCCTGCAGGTGGCACTGAGGACGAGCATGCAAGGCCAGAGAGGGCCCTGGGTGGACCCTCGGAGCCCCAGATCCTTCCTGACCACCCCATGCTCAGCCTAGCAGAGATGCTTCAGGTGAGCCTCTCCCTCCCCTCAAGGGAAGAAATACAGCCCTGCCACCCCACAGAGCCTGGTTTTCAGGCAAAGTGTGGCTGAGGAGCAGGTGGGGGATCTCAGGGTAGCATGGCCAACCCTGGTCTGGCTGCCCCTCCTGCTACAGGCCAGCACCTGGCTTCCCTTATGCCCTCCCTCTCTCTCCACATCTTCTCCCACATCTGCCACCGCCCCAGCCGTCCATCTCCACCGGGGAACTCCCGAGGCCAGACCTGCTGCCTGGGTCTCCTTCTGTCCATTTTCTCAGGGTTTGGGGGTGGGGGGCTTGGAGAAGGTCAGGGCTACAGCAAACACCCCCCCCTTACCCAATTCTAAAGCTGAGTCAGAGGAAGGGCTGGGGCCTGCACTGGGTCTTCCATGATGCTTCCTCTCTGGGCAGGAAGCCGAGAAGGGGCGGCTCAGATACCTTCCTTGACCTCCCCACACAACCCCCCAGAACAATGCCCCAGGCCGGGCAGGGCTTCCTGGCCCCTCCCTCGGGACCCCCCCTCCCCCCAGTGATCTAATCGTTGGTGCTCTCCTAAGGGCCTGGGGTTTTCTGGTTAGAGAAGATAGGCATTTTGGTCAGGGCCAGGGAGGTGACATGCCCTCTGCTGCCACAGACCAATCTTCCTGAGGCCTTTCGGATCAAATTAGAATTGGATGGTGACAGCCATATTCTGGAGCTGCTACAGAACAGGTAACAATGCTAGTGATGACGTTAATAATATTGATAACATGGCTAACCCCCATTCAGCATTTACTACATGCTGGGTACTAGCACCTGAACTTATTCAATCCTTATAACCACCTGTAAGGTAGATGCTGTTGTGTCTTACTGTCCTCATTTTCTATATGAAGCAGTCAAGGCACAAAGAGGCTAAATAACTTGCCCAAGGTCACACAGCTAGTATGTGGTAAAAACCAGATTAGAACCCAGGTAGCCTGACAAGAGTTTGTGACCAAACCACTATACTCTGCTGCCTTTGGGGGAAGGCTGGCCCCCAGCCACCCCTCTACCCCTGCCAGGCCTCAGTCTTCACCCCACCAACCCCCACCCCCACCCCACCCTCAGGGAGGCAACTGTCGCTGCCTGCCTTTTTTGTCACAGGGACCTAGTCCCAGGCCGCCCGTGGCTGATGCGGTACCAGCCTGATGGCATCCGTGTGGTCAGTGAGGGACACACTCTGGTGAGTCTTGTGCCCTGTTTCTGGCCTGAGGGGAAGAAGAGGGTGTGCCCCTCGAGGGCGCCCTCCCTATAGGACTCACGAGGACACAGCATATCTTCACCAACAGGCTAGCCTCCTGGTCTCCAGCCTGGCCTGGCCTTCAAGGTTGCACTGCTATTTCTCTGCTGTAGGAGAACTGCTGCTACCAGGGAAGGGTGCAGGGCCATGCGAGCTCCTGGGTCTCTGTCTGCACCTGCTTGGGGCTCAGGTACCAAGGCCACCTCCCCTGCGGAGGGGCGGGGGGCAGTGAGGGGCATGAGGCACAGAGCTGAGAGGCTCTCTGACTTCCTGGGTCTTCCCAGGGGTTTGGTGATCCTGTCCCCAGAGAGAAGTTATATGTTAGACCTTGGGCCTGGGGACCTGCAGGCCCCCCCAAACATCTCCCGGATCCAGGACCTCTTCCTGCCAGGCCACACCTGTGCCCTGAGCCGGCATGCATCTGGGCCCACTCAGGCTCCCCTGGAGCAGCCCCCGGAACAGCACCACAGCTGCACTCGGGTGAGGACAAACAGCAAGAGGCTGGGCTTCTGTTGTCCCTGAGGGCCAGGCCCCAGACCCTGAGAGCCCTTTATCCCCAGAACCTTCTAAGGAGCAATTATCCATCACCACTGTGTGAACACCATCTCCTTTCCTCTTCCCAGCAACCCTGGGAGGGATGTGCCATCAGTAGCTCATTTGGGTGAGAAAACCAGCTCAGGGAGGTTAGTGACTTGCCCAAAGTCATTCAACTAATAAATGATATATCCAGGATATACATGCAGGTACTTGGCCTAAAATCCAAATCATATGATCCTGAATGCAGAGAGGCCTCCCTTGGCCATGGATGATACAGAATTACCAGTCATAAAACACTATGAATCCAATCTCCTAATTTATAAAACGGGGGAAAATAGGGTCTCCTGGGTGGTTCGGTCTGTTGGGTGTCTGCCTTCGGCTCAGGTCCTGATCTCAGAGTCCTGAGATCCAGCCACGTGGGGCTCCCTGCTCAGTGAGGAGTCTGCTTCTCCCTCTGCCCCTCCCCCCTGCTTGTGAGGCACAGCGCGCTCTCTCTCTCTCTCACTTTCTCTCAAATAAATTTAAATATTTAAATTAATTAATTAATTAAAAAGGCAGGGATAATAAAACTACCTTTCAGGGTTATTGTGAAGATTAATTGAATCTATATGCACAGTGCTTAGAACTATGCCTGAGGTATGAATATATTATGGTGTTAGCTATTTATTTTTTTAAGTTTATTTTTTATTTATTATTTTGAAAGATTTTATTTGTTCATGAGAGACACAGAGAGAGAGGCAGAGAGAGAAACCAACTCCTCGTGGGGAGCCCGATACGGGACTCAATCCAGGACCACGGGATCACACCCTGAGCCAAAGGCAGATGCTCAACCAATCAGCCACCTAGGCATCCCAAAGTTTATTTTTTAGTAATCTCTACACCCATCATGGGGCTTGAACTCACAACCCCAAGACCAAGAGTCATGCATTCTATCAACTGAGCCAAACACCCCTATTATTATTATTTTAATTTGGAAAAAGCACTGAATTTGGAACCAAAAAAGCAGGGCTCTACTCCCAGCTGCATGGCCTACATCTGGGTCCACCCTGGGCAAGTCCCTGGCCTCTCGAATCTCAGTGGTTCATCTGTAAAATGAGCCACACAGGGTGGGAGTGGACACGGCTCAGGCAGCCCCGTGGTGCACCTGATGCTCCTTCTTGCCCACAGCGGCGGCGGGACGTGGTGGCAGAGACCAAGATTATTGAGCTGGTGATAGTGGCCGATCACTCTGAGGTAAGCTTGCTGGCCCCTGTATGTCCTCCCCTGACCCCTGCCCACCCTGCCGTTTCACATGCCCATTTCTCTTGACCCACAGACACAGAGGTACCCGGACTCCCAGCAGCTGCTGAACCGCATGCTGAAAGTGACCTTCCTCTTGGACACAGTGAGTGCCGGGCTGGGCAGCACCCCATTAGCCCTCCCCTCTGGCTGTGGGGGCCTCTCTCCTGAACCCAGTTCTTTCAGTTCTTCCGGCCCCTGAATGTCCGGGTGGTGTTAGTGGGCCTGGAGGCCTGGACCCAGCGCGACCTGGTGGAGATAAGCCAGGACCCAGGCCTCACACTGGACAATTTCCTCCACTGGCGCCGGGTGGACTTGCTGCCTCGACTGCCCCATGACAGTGCCCAGCTGGTGACGTAAGATCCCCAAGCTCTGCCCCTGTCTGAGGCCTTGAGGCTCTGGCTGCCATGGCTTTGGGCCTGACCTTCGACCTCACAATCCCACAGTGCTACTTCATTCTCTGGGCCCACAGTGGGCATGGCCGTTCAGAACTCCATCTGTTCTCCTGACTTCTCAGGAGGGGTGAATATGGTGAGCCAGTTCAGGTCTCCTCTCTGTTCCCCTTCGTGGACTTCTCACTGGGGGTCCACTTATTCCCCAAAACCCCTACCAACTACCAACCCCCAAGCTCTGGGCCTAGGGGCAGGGCTGTGGGATGTGGCCCCTGCTGTTAGCTCACCAGTCTTTACCTGGGAGGGCTTCCCATTTCCTGGTGGGGGAGGGCAGTGGGGGCCCAGGGTCACAGAGCAAGGGAAGGGAACAGAGCTGAGCCAGATCCCCAGGCTCTTGCCACCCAGGCCTGGGCTCTCCTCTTATTTAGAAGCAGTTAAGGAGAGAGGCAGTGCTGAGTGCCCATGAGGTGAGATGGGGAGAACAGGAGCAGTTAGGCTGATGCTGGACCTGGGGTGTCCCCTCCCCATTGCCAGGACCACTCCACCAGTGTCCTGGGAGTTGCATCCTCAATAGCTCACGAGTTGGGCCACAGCCTGGGCCTGGACCACGACTTGCCCGGGAACAGCTGCCCTTGCCCCGGGCCGGCCCCTGCCAAGAGCTGCATCATGGAAGCTTCCACAGAGTGAGTAGCAGTTGGAGGAAGAGGGGTGTGGGGCAGGGGCAGGAGGCCACCACAGCCCCAATCTTTCTTGCCACCATCCCCAGCTTCCTGCCGGGCCTGAACTTCAGCAACTGCAGCCGGCAGGCCCTGGAGAAAGCCCTCCTGGATGGAATGGGCAGCTGCCTCTTTGAACGGCTTCCCAGCCTGCCCTCTATGGCCACTGTGTGCGGAAATATGTTTGTGGAGCCTGGAGAACAGTGTGATTGTGGCTTCCCGGACGTGAGCCCCTCCCCCAGAACCTCACCCCACTGGCTTCTATGACCCCCTCCCTGGGCTCATTACCCCTCCTACCCCTTTGGAAAGCCAGAGCCCCCCGTGGCTCTAAAGGGACCAGTCACCCCTCTGCACACCTCCCTGTCTGTGGGGACGGCACATGGAGTGTGGGGCTCTGGCTTTCCCTCATTATGTGTACCCTTCGGGGTCGGGCTCCCAGAGGACAGGCAGGGATGGCTCCCAAGCCTGCTCTGATACGAGATCGCTCTGCCCTCAGGACTGCACTGACCCCTGCTGTGACTACTTCACCTGCCAGCTGAGGCCAGGGGCACAGTGTGCATCTAATGGGCTCTGCTGTCAAAACTGCCAGGTGGGCACAGACCGGACTGGCTGGCCACCCGAAGCTCATCTGCTGAGCGTCAGGATGGAAAGGGTGACCCCCAGGGCCCTGGTTGGACCCGCCCAGCACTCACACACTGCTACACCCTCACCCCACAGCTGCGCCCGGCTGGCTGGCAGTGCCGTCCTGCCCGAGGGGACTGCGACTTACCCGAGTTCTGTCCAGGAGACAGCTCCCATTGCCCTCCTGATGTCAGCCTGGGTGACGGCGAGCCATGTGCAGGGGGACAGGCTGTGTGTGTACAAGGGCGCTGTGCTTCCTACGCCCAGCAGTGCCAGGCTCTCTGGGGACCAGGGGCCCAGCCCACTGCACCACTTTGCCTCATTGCTGCCAATACTCGAGGGGATGCATTTGGGAGCTGTGGGCGCAGCCCTAACGGCAGCTACATGTCCTGTGCCCCTAAGTAAGTGTGGAGCTTGGGTTCCCCTCTGGGTGTGTGGGAGCCTTGACCTGACCCTGCCCCTCATCCCTTCCTTCAGAGATGCCATGTGTGGACAGCTCCAGTGCCAGGGGGGTCAGGCCCAGCCTCTGCTGGGCTCAGCCCGGGATCTGCACTGGGAGGTGCTAGAAGCCAACGGGACCCAGCCAAGGCTGAACTGCAGCTGGGTCCACCTGGACCTGGGTGACGATGTGGCCCAGCCCCTCCTGGCGCTGCCTGGCACAGCCTGTGGTCCTGACCTGGTAAGCAATCTGAGTGGGCAGAGCCAAGAGGGGAGGGCTCTCTGGGGCACAGAAAGCAGTGCCGTGGCCTCACTGGCCACCAGTGTAAAAGGCTCAGACTCTGGGGAGCGAGGGGGGGCGGGTTCAGACTCATACTTCAGACAGCAAGTTCTGTCATCCTGTGAGCCTCGGCTTCTCCAGCTTGTGGCTTCAGCCGTCCTGGCCTCCTGGTGCTAGGAAAGCTTTGTGAAAATGTGATCTTTCTTCTCCCTGGGGCAGGTATGCATTGACCATCAGTGCCAGCCCGTGGACGTCCTGCGTGCCCAGGAATGTCGAAGCAAATGTCACGGGCACGGGGTGAGCTGGCATGGGGGAGACAGGAGGGGAGCAGGGAGCCCCCAACGAGGCCAGTGATGGTGGGCTTTGGACACACACATACCTATGTTCCAATCCTCGTTCTACTCCTTCCTGGCTGTGTAACCTGGGCCAGATAATTAACCTCAGGTCCCCTCTGAGCTTTTCTTAGCCATCCAATGGGCAGATAACAGTACCCACTTCCCAGGACCCCTGAGATGAGCATGAGAGCGCCTGGCATAGGACCTGGCTTGGAGAAGGCGCTAACCCAGTTAGGTGGATTTTATTTCCTCTGGCATGGACACAGGCTCCCTCTGCCCACTCCATCATCCCCAGCACACCTTCCAATTGTAGACATAGGAGATCCTGAAAAGCTGGGGACAGGGAAACACGACCCCAGAGTGCAGAGCCCCTCATCGCTCAACCTGTCACCCCCCTAGGTCTGTGACAGCAAAGGACATTGCCACTGTGAGGAGGGCTGGGCCCCCCCTGACTGCACCAGCCATGTCAGAGGTAGCTGGGGGACAGGGGCAGCCGGGAGGGCAACATGGCTTAGCCTTTACCGTCCCCCCTTCCTGACTTCTTCCTCACCCCCTCCCATCCTCTGACTACTTCACCTCCATGCCCACCCTCTCCCCCTTCCCTGGTGCAGGATTCCTAGCCCTGCCCACCTTCAAACCTGCCCTCACCCCACAGCAACCAGCTCCCTGACCACAGGGCTGCCCCTCAGCCTCCTGTTGGTAGTAGTCCTGGTACTGCTTGGTGCCAGCTACTGGCACCGTGCTCGCCTGCGTCAACGACTCTGTCAGCTCAAAGGGCCCAGCTGCCAGTACAGGTACCTGCTCCCTCAACAGCTCTGGGGTCCTGGCCCCACCCCCGCCAGAGCCCCTCAGACCAACCCATGCACCCTCCGTCCCCTCCGTGTGCCGTATAACTCCTTACTCACGCACAGACCCATGGAGGGTAGCTGGAAGCCAGGGCCACTTCTGCCCCTGAGCCCCTGGGCTAAGTAGGTGGAGCCCTCCCCACATCTGATCGGCCCTAAACTGCACATGAGCTGCTCTCCCAGGAGCTGCAAAGGGACCACCCCACCCAAGGGTCGCATGTGGGTGGAGAGCACAGTCTGAGCCTGGACCCTCTCCCTCCTTGCTTTTCTCCATGGTCAGAGCGGCCCAGTCCGGTCCCTCAGAATGCCCAGGACCCCCACAGAGGGTCCTGCTGATGCCAGGGGCCAAGGTAAGTCATGGATAGCAGAGGAGAGAGGCCCCCCTTGTCTAGGCATCTAACGTGGGCCCTGGGGTGGGGGTACTAAAGGCCCTAGATGCAGAGAAAGACCCCCAGGGCCCAGGAGTCAGCCAGAGGAGCCAGGGCCAGCCCTTCCTACACCCCCTACGTTCACCCCTCCCCTGCCCCAGCTGCAGGCCCAGAAGCAGAATCCAGCCTGGAGTGGGGAGGGGCAGTCACCTAGGAGGGTCTGCTGAGTCCTTTGAGCTGGCCAAGCTGGTGGCTTTGAGAGGTGGGTCTGTGGGTGCTCCCAGCAGGGGCCCCTGGAGGATGCGGGGCTCAGAAATGGCCTTCAGTGTGCCACTACCTGCTGAGGCCCAGGTCACCATGTGTAGAAGGGCTGCTGCACGCCCCGCAAGCCCTCTGGAGCTGATGACGGGGTATGTGTGTGGAGGTGGTCTGCATGCTCACCCCACCACTGGTCACCCCCTCTGCATGCAACTGAATAACCGCATGCACAGTCTCCACCTCCCCTGGGGCCCTGGCTGCCCCTCCCCAGGCACTAACCCCTCTCTGCTCACATCTCTCTGCTCCCTCTCCCCTCCCCCATCCCACCCTGCCTGCCTGCTCCTCCTGCTCTCTCAGCAGGCTGGTATTCTTGGCTTCCCAGCACCCCCCTCCAGACCGCTGCCTCCTGACCCTGTGCCCAAGAGACTCCAGGTAAATCCAGGCCAGGCCCCGCCCTGACCCAGGGCAGGTGGGAGGCTTGGTGCCCAGCTGCAGTTCCCACCCCTGTCCCCTGCCAGTAGCGCTCTCTGTGAGGGGACCAGGGTGCCCCTTGGCCTGCAGATACAGCCCCAGCAGCAGCAAAGGGTGAGCCTCCTGCCTTGTTTTCTACCACCACCTGGTGGTCAGTGGCAGGACTGCAGCCGGCCCGGGACACCGCTGTGACCCATCCCTTCCTCCCCTGAGGCTTCTGCTGGCAGAACCCCAAGCCTTGTGCTCATGTCCCCATTCTCTCCTGCCCCCTGGCTGACTTTGCATGTTGAACTGAACCCCTCAAGAAAACCACTGCATGCTCACTTGCCCCTGGCCATGCTCTCACAGCACTGCCCATCTCTCTGTCCAGGCTGAGCTGGCTGACCGGCCCAATCCCCCCACCCGCCCTCTGCCCGCTGACCCGGTGGTGAGGCACCCGAAGGTAACAGTGTGGGGAGAGAAGGGTGCAGCCTCTCCCCCACCCAGAGCTGTGGTGCTTATTGTCCTGGCAGTGGTGGCCATGGCGAGATGCCCCCTCTGTGTGTGAGGACACACACCCCCGGTGTCCTTTAACGGTGACAGGTTTGTGTGGAAACAAAGGTGACCTCTGGAGCCGGCCCCACAAGCTGGGGTCCCCCAGCAACAGGAGTGGGCAATATGACATCTCCTCCCAAGCCAGCCTCCTGCTTTCTCTCTCACCCTCAGGGGCCTGCCAAGCCCCCTCCCCCGAGGAAGCCACTGCCTGCCAACCCCCAGGGCCGGGGCCCTTCGGGTGACCTGCCTGGCCCAGGAGCTGGAATCCCGCCTCTAGTGGTACCGTCCAGGTAGGCTCCGAGGGGCGCGGAGGGGCGCGGAGGGGCGCGAATGGTCTGCGGAAAGGGGGACTTCTGACCTTTTTTCTGGGCTTCCCGCACCCCAGGCCTGCGCCGCCACCTCCAGCAGCGTCCTCCTCGCTCTACCTCTGACCTCTGCTGAGGTTCCGCTGCCTTCAGCCCCGACGTAGGACTTCCAGGGGCGGACCGGCCCTGGGAGTGCCCCGCGATGACTGAAGGAGCCGGAGCCTGGTCGCGGCGGAGCAGGCACCTTCAGACCCCCAGCACTCCTGCGCGCCGACCCGCCCACGAAGCCTGTGGCGGGAGGTGGGGAGGGGCTGGGTGCCAGACAGGGCCGAGGGGGTGCCCACAGCCGGTCCCTGCTCTGGTGCAATAAACGTGAGGTCTGGGGAGCGTGCCTGGGACTTTTCTCCGCTCCGGGAAGGCCGCGCGCCCTGCTGCGGTTCCAGGGCTGGCCGCCAGGAGGCGCTGCCGCCTCGAACGAGGGCGAGCGTCCGGGGCTGGGTCCGCGTGTATCCCCGGGACGCTCGCGGTAGCTTTCTGCCTGGTCTGCGACGACTCTGCGCAGCCAGGACCGCAGAGAGCTGGTAAGACCCGTGCCGCTCCCCGCCGCCGAGTCCTCGCCCTCAAGGCTGCACGACCCCACGGACGGCTGTCCACGAAGCGGCCCAGCTGTTGGACCCGCCGTCCCCACCCTCTGACCAGTGGCTGGGAAAGGTGGATCTGGCTGGTGTTCTCAGCGCCCCGGAGTCGGGGCGGAGCGGGGCGGAGCGGGGCGGCGTGGGGCGGCGCGGGGCGGCGGCTCCCACGATCCCAAGGCCGTGCACCTGCCGCCTCCCCCTCGCCTGCCCCACCTGAGGGCTTGGGAACAAAGGTGCTTTGTACAGTCTGCCACCGCACCGCCTCATTATTTCAGCTTCGGGAATGGGGCCGCGCGAGCCCCCAGCCCAGAACGAAGGTGTGGGGCGGGAAGAGATAGGCGCCAACCCTCAGGTGGGCACGAGCTCCCCGCGAAGGCTCTGGAAGGGGGGCGGGTGGGGGAGTCCCAGGAGGCGATGTGTCCCTTCCCCTCGCGCTACCCCTGGACGGTCAAGGAAAGATGGGCAGTACCCCCTAAGGTGGCCCCGGACGGGCTTCGTGGATCCTCGCGCGTGCCCCACTTTTCCTCTTTCTGGCCAAAGGCGGCGTGCCCCTATTAAATCTTCCAAATGTGTGATGAGGCTCCCTACCCGGTACGAACGCAGACACGAAAGACGCGACCTCCCTAAAACGAACTCGCAGACGGTGCACGCGTGGCCCTGCCCGCCCCCTCGCGACGCGGGGCAGCCGGGGTGGGAGCGTGGAGAGCCTGGCGTGCGCCTCGGCGCACGGAGGGTTAACAGGAGTTGGCTCGGAGTAGGGAGGCGGGGGCGCGCCCCCATTGGTGGAAAGTTACCCGGAGGCGTGGCCCGCGAGTCTCCGCACCCCACCCCCCGTTCCGCACCCCCCCACCTCCACTTTGTACCTTTCTCGCCGCGGCGGCGGAGCGGGCCGGTACCGGCCGGACCAGACCAGAGCGGACCCCAGGGGCGATGCGGCTGCTGCCCCTGCTGCGGACTGTCCTCTGGGCCGCACTCCTCAGCTCCCCGCTGCGCGGGGGCTCCGGCCTCCGCCACGCTGTCTACTGGAACTCCAGTAACCCCAGGTAGCCGGGCCGAACCCGGCCGACCGCGGCCCGGGCCTGCGCGCTCCCGGCCCCCGCGCGCGCCCCACTCTGGTTCTGTGCGCGGCGCCGCCTGGGCCCGGCCGCGCGCCGGGGCTCCTTTGTTTGAGCCGGCGGGGGGAGGGGGAGGGAGGGGCGAGGCGCGCCCGAGGCTCCCCCCGCCCGCACGTGTTGGGGGGCGGGCGGAGGACCCCCGCTCCGAAAGCGGAAAGTGGGATCTGGGAGCCGGGAGCTGGGGGGCCCCTGGCCTGCGCTCCGGGCCCCGCCCCCTCGCTTCTCCCCGCTCTCCCGGTGTTCCACCCGCCTCCGGCCGGAGCTGGGGCGGGCGGTCTGGAGAGGAAGGGAGGGGGCTTCACTCTCGGGAAAGAACGTGCTGTACCCTCCTGCTCGCTCTGCCTCCTGATCCCATTCGCTTCTGCGTTCATCTCCATCATCCTCCGTCCTTCTATTTCTGTCCTGTCTCGGCCCTGCTCCTCCAGCTGAATCACCTTCGGGCAAGTCGTTTGACTCCATAACCTCACTTACCTCATCTGTAAAATGGGCTAATACCACCTGGTATTCTGGGAAATCAGGCGGGCGGGCTGAGGTCGTGTGTGGGAGAGTGGTGTCGGCTGTTCAGATACAAACTATTATTTCTTTCTCCCGAGCCTTTGAACCTCGGTATTTGGTATTTTGGACTGTTTTCATTTCTCTCCGCAGTTCTCCCTGTCTCTCTCTGCTTTCTCCATCTGCTTGCCTTTCTGATTTTCTCCTCGAAGCCAATCTGTGACTCTGTTCATTTGTTCACTCACCAGCATTTGGACGCAGTGTACCGTGTGCCAGGACATGTGCTAGGATGCTAGCTATAGCAGATGGGACCCCAGCTCTAGCCTCTGAGAGCCCAAGAGACCCCCAGGGCGGGCAGGCATGAAGAGGGTCATTACAATACCCGCAGCACGTGATCACAGCCATTGTGCTCCCAGGGCCACATCCCCCTCGGTTCCAGACCAGTGCCTCCGAATCCCTTGGAAAACTTGTTAGAAATTCAGGTTCCTAGCCCCCAACCCTGGGGTTTCTGACTCATTCATTCAATCTGCAAATATTTATTGAGCGTTGGGGCAGGACCCATTTCCCGGCGCTTGGGATGCTGTGGAACCATCAGACCAAGGCCCAGCTTTGGTCCTATCCCACTGAGCTGAACCCAGGAATCTGCATTTCTGATTAGAACTTCAGATACAGGTGGTCTTTAGACCACCCATTGTGGCATGGCTAGAGGGGGCGCTCATAAGTCAGGCTGGACTGTGTGTGGTAGTGAAGGCGGAAGGAGGCTCATAATGTGTAATGCTGTGGGGTTCAACCTATCCCAGCTCTTCCATCCTGGCTCCCACAGGCCATTCCCAAGAGGTTGGGAAGGGAGTCCTGAGCAGGCCAAAGATGAGTGGATATCTGGAGGTGCCTCCCTTCCATGTCTGACATTTCCTTGTCCTGAAAAGGAAAAAAAAAAACAAGCCCCCCCCCCTCAATCCACACACTCTCTCTCTCTCTCTCTCTTTTTTTTTTTTTTTTTGATGGCAGCCTTCTTGTCAGTATTGGATTGAGAGCTATCAAGTAGGCTTCCTCCCCTTGCTTCTGTCAAAGAGGCCTCAGTCCTTGCAGCCGGTGACTGCACTGCAGGCTCAGATCACACCGCCGCCCCTATGCCCCAGTGTCTTTGCAGCAGCTGCCCACCAAACATCTAGCAAGTGCACAAGGCTATGTCAGGCCTTCTGCTGGGCACTGGAGCCAGAGAGCTGGTGGCAGCGCCAACCTGAAGATGTAGGGTGTGCTGAGTGGCCCTGTTACCCTTGAGCCCCACAGTCCTGGGCACTGAGTCCCTACACCCCCCCAATGCCTGCGAATTGGTTACTTCCCTCATTTCTTGGCTCTGTCTCAAGAGTTGTCAGGCTGGGAAACTGAGGCCTTCCTGAGCTGCTCCCTTCCTCGTGGGTGGGGGAGAGGCTGGCAGGTATCACGGGGAGGTCTTTCTGACCCTCGTGCCCCAGGCGAGCTGCGCCTGCCCCTTCAGCCCACACCTGCTTTACCTGCCTTATGCCTGTAGGCTACTGGGAGGAGACGCCGTGGTCGAGCTGGACCTCAACGATTACCTAGATATCTTCTGTCCACACTACGAGGGCCCAGGGCCCCCTGACGGCCCCGAGACGTTCGCTTTATATATGGTGGACCGGCCAGGCTATGAGGCCTGCCAGGCCCAGGGCCCAGGTGCCTTCAAGCGCTGGGAGTGTGCCCTCCCCTTTGCTCCCTTTGGACCTGTCCGGTTCTCCGAAAAAATTCAACGCTTCACACCCTTCTCCCTTGGCTTTGAGTTCTTGCCTGGAGAAACCTACTACTACATCTGTGAGTAACCAGGGCACAATGCGGGGGATGGGGCACCCTGCCACTGCCTGGTCAAGGCAGAGAACCCCAGCTGGGGAGAAAGGAGGGGTCTGGGAATGAAGGGGGAACCTGAGTCCACAGCAGGGGCGGCTCAACAGCGGGGGGGGGTGGTGGTCTACAGGGGACCTGAGTTGACAAGGGAGGGGGAATTCTACTGTGGGGGACCTGAGTGTACAGCAGGAGAGGTCTACAGTGGGAGGGACCTGACTTTACAATGGGGGGAGAGTCTACAGTGGGAGGGGTCTACAGCAGGGGGACCTGAGTCTACAGCAGGTGGGGGGTCTACAGTGGGGGGACCTGAGTCTACAGTGGGGAGAGGTTTTCCAGTGGGGGAGGAGTTTACAGCAAGGAGGAGAAAGCAAGAGGAGCCAGGAAAGGGGACACGATGGGGGGAACGGGTGGGGCCTGGCACCAGGGTGTGGAGCAGAAGTCAGGGAAGGCTTTCCAGGGAGCCCGAGAGAAGATACAGATCAGAAGGGTCTGAAGGAGCTCGAGGGGGGCAGACTTGCCTGTACTAATGTCTTCCTCCCAATTCCCTACCATCCAGCGGTACCACCTCCGGAGAGTTCTGGCACGTGTCTGAGGCTCCAGGTGTCTGTCTGCTGCAAGGAGAGCAGTAAGTGGGCTGGAGTATGGGGAGCAACCCTTCTGGCAAGGGTGGGGCCCTTGGAGGGAAGGAGGCACGGGAGAATCTAGGAGCACCAGACCCTGCGGGGTCCAAGTGGGGCTTTTTTGCTGTGGCCTCTTCTCCCCCCCTTTATCTTTGTGGGAGCTTCCACTGTACCGTTTCATGCGGGGCCAAGGACATGCTATCTCCAGGGCCACAGCTTTCAGGCCTCAGCTGAACTGGGACCCTGGGAAAGGAGTGAAGAGCCCAGGGCCAGGGCAGGAAGGAGGCTGCTGAAGGGGAGGGTCCCTGAAGGGGAGGGTCCCTCAGCACTGCCCCTCCCTCACAGGGTCAGAATCAGCCCATCCTGTTGGAAGCCCTGGAGAGAGCGGCAGGTCAGGGTGGCAAGGGGGGGGTGCTCTCAGCCCCCTCTGTCTCTTGCTGCTCTTACTGCTCCCAATTCTGCGTCTCCTGCGAGTTCTCTGAGCCAAGTGGACCCCTCTGCCACCCCCAGGAGCGAGAGCCCTCCCAAGACTCCCCGCAGGAGCTGCCCTCCCCCCCCACTGCCACTTGAGCTGGTATGTCAACCAGCCAGAACAATGGAAGAGTGGCAGGGGAGGGGGGGGTCAGAGGGTCTGAGGTGAGCCTTCCAGGGGCTGGCCCTTTATTACAGGCTGAAGAGGAGCTGCAGGGCAACTGCACACAGCCCTGGGCATGCTGGAGCCCAGGGTCAGAACATAGGGTCTCTGTCAGCTGCTTTGATGTTCTCATTCTGCCCCCTAGAATCGCTGGGGTTTAGTGGGATTTAGCCCTTGAGTCTGTTGGGGCCAAGATGGAAGACCTGGGCACAGGTGGATTACCAGACCAGGGTAAAGAAGCAGCCCAGGCCTGCCCTCTGTGTCCAGTACCCTGTGGGCAGCATTTCCCCTCCCCAAGGGGTCACTCACTTGTCTTCTATGAAGACGGACTTGCCATGAGGTTGAATATCATGCCAGTTTGTATTTTTATAAGTGTCTGGACCAAACACTCAATAAACCACCCAACTTTTTGTTGCTGTCCCCCATCTACTACCCTCTGGCTCCTTCCTTGGCACCAGGACTCCCTGTGGCCTTTGCTCTCAGCTTCACTTGGCCTGACCTCCATGCCAGCTGTGCCCAGGCCATCCATTCCAGGCCTCGGTGGGTACCCCTCTGGGCAGTATGTGGGTACCCCTCTGGGCAGTATGCGGTGGGTGCCAGCAGCAGCTGTAGACCTTGGCACCCTCTCCCCACTCCCTAGCTGGCTTCCTGTGCCAAGGAGGGGGCAGATGCTCCTGACAGCCCACCCACTTGGGGCACTGGCCAAACTCTGGTAGCTCAAGCAGGGCGCTTGGGCAAAATCCAACGCTGCTGGAGGGACAGCACCTGAGTTTCAGAATGCCTGGGTCTCTGAGCACTGGGCATCCTTCCTCCTCCCCAAGAGCGGGCTGGGAGGCGCCTGGCCTAGAACTGGGAAGGTGGGGTCAGATCAAAGCCTCCTTCCCCAGCGGTTTCTTTGTTCTTTGCTTTTATAAGGAGGAGGGGGTGGGGCCGAAGAGGGAGGGCCCCTCTGCTCTCAGCCCCACACTGTCTCTCCCATCTTTGGCAGGCGAGGCTGTGGTCCCCCCAAGCCCAGCCGCATCTCTCCTTATGAACGGTGTCCTGGGTGGGGCCCGGGGAAGGGGTGCCGCTGCCCTCTCAGCTGTGCCCCAACCGCCCCCAGGGCCCCCGCAGCCTCGGCTGGCATCGTGCCCGCCCGCCTGGAACCAAGCCAGCAATCGATAGGTGGATGTTGTGCTGATTAGCTCGGCCGGGCTGCGGCAGCGAGAGGCGGCGTGTGAACAAGCGGGGGGCGGGCGCGGGGCAGCCGGGGGGGGGGGGGGGGGCGGGAGGCCGACAGACGCGGGAGCTCTGCAAATCGAGGCCCCTCCCCCACCCCGGACACACCCCGTCGGACTCCGCTCCCTCTGTGGCTTCCCGGGCTCTAGGTGAGGGGGGAGGACACCACCGCAGGCGGGCCAGACGCCGGCGCCCCCTCCCCCATTCGAGGCCCCTTTCGGAAAGCGCCTCGTCTGGAAGTGCACGTGCCCGCGTGTTGCCCGCGTATTCGCGCGTCCGCAGCCCCGCTAGGGTCCTTAGCGGACTGCAGGGGCCAGGGGGCTCCGAGCGGTGGCGTCTGAGCTGGAGGATGAACTACGGCGCCATCCTCTGGCCCCGGGTTCGAGCTGCGCCCCTACTGTCATGGGGGGGGTGGCCGTGAGTGGCCATGGAGACCGAGAGCACTGCTGCCACCCCCACCAGGAGCCGTAGGCGGGGCGTGCGGGGGCGACTGGGGACGGTGGGAGTCTCACCCTGTGGCCAGCCTCCCAGACCCCCTCGCCAACCCCCCCACCGGTGACGCGGGGGGCGCGGGAGGCCGGGGCAGCTGTCTCCCACTCGGCACTGGAATGCGCGCCCTCACCGGGCTGCCCTCTCCAGGCAGGTGCCTCAGCCCACGCCCCAGCGGCCAGGCAGGGGCGCGACGGTCCTTTCCTCACAGCTGGCCCTGCGCCTTCGGCAGGGTCAGCCCCGGGGCGCGCCCCCCAGACGGGGCCGAGGCGGGCGGAAGGGCCCGGGCGGCCTTCCGTGACTGGGCCCGACCCATGAGAAGGCCTGGAGGCGCGTTCCGGGGCGCGGTTCCAGGAGGCTGGGCAGGCCTGTGAGTTTTGGGGCGTCACCAAACCCCTAAACTCAGAGGCGCTAGACGACCCAGGGTGGGGCCCTCAGTTCGCTGGGCCCGCCCTAGTCTCTCCCCAGCACATGCGAAAACCCTGGTCATCTGCCTCATTCTGTCGCGTCCTCCCAAGAGGGGGTGGCAAATCACCCACTTTCTCTAAAAGTGAAACCCTGGAGCTTTGGTCTTTTTCTGTGACCCCTCCCTTTTTTTCTTTTCAGTAATTCTTCCTTCCTTTGCTTATTCATTCATTCATCAAATTGTGAACTCCCAGCACGCTGCCCTTCTTTCAGCAGGCCACAGCAGCTGGGGTCGTCGGGGGGATTCCCAGCGGTGACGCATTTGGAGAGGGGCACTCTGGCTTCCAAAAAGCCAATTGAATCCCGGGGCCTTGGGCATGAGGTCATCAGCCGTGATGCCCATTGGTTCAGGCCTGGACGTGAGGAGGGGGTCCCCATAGCAACCGACGGTGCGTCCCATCGTAACCCTGAGAGTGGTCTTTGCTTGAGCTCCAGTGGCAGCTTGGGTGGCTGTTGCGGTTGGGGGTGGGGAGACTGGGGTGGACCTCAGTTTCCCTTGTCCTGCAGCCCTAGCCCAACCAAGCTCCTGTCATTCTCAGAGACCCTTATTCTCACTGTAATGGCCAGTGAAGGGGAGGGGAGGAGTGCTGGCAACAGTGTTGGGGTCTGGGGTCCAGGGTGTGGGAGCCGGAGCTGTCCCCACCGGGAATGCTAATTCTGAAATCCTCCTGGTCTTCTGCATATCGTCTGCATCTCATTTGCATTCTCTTCATTTAAGGTCAAATTGAGCAGACATCGCCACATCCCCAGTCCTGTCGCTTGTCTGTATCCCGACTTTATCCCTTAGCAGCTCCATAATTTATCTCTCCTTTTGCTGTGCCTTACCCACCCCCCTTCTAGCCTCCAGTGAGAGGGGGCACAGCCTAGCTAAAGCAGAAAGAAGTTGGCCTCTCCCTCTGGATGTTTGTTGACAGATGGGGAGGGCTGGTCTGTACTGTCTAGAGACTACATTGGCAAAGCAAATGGTGGGAGGAGGTGCCCCGGCTGGGTTGAGGGTCTCCAGGGCCAAATCACCCACCCACCCGGCAGGATGCTGGAACTAGGGATGCCTGCTTCCAGCAAGGGGCAGGCCTGCCCACCTGTCTGGTGCCAGGGCAGCTTCCTTCCTCCAATTAAATACTAATGAGGTGTCATTAACCCTTAGTTTGCCTGCCAGCCCTCAGGTGGAGCTCAGATTCATGGTCTTCCACCAAACCAAGAAGGAGGCCCTTTAAAGAAGCCGAGAGGTAGTGGGGTCAGGGGGCCAGGAGGCCAGAAGACCAGCAGGCAGGACCAGAGGCACTGGTTATCCTGTGTGCTGCTGAGGGGCTCTAGACATGGGCGTCCCTGCTGGCTGAGTGCACTTACTCCTCTGTGCATCAATTCAACAATTATTTGTGAATCACTTCCCTACTACTACCAACTCAACACCAGGCTGCATGCTACATGCTAGGGATATGCACTTGCATCAGACAAGATCCTTTCCCTTAAGGAATCTTCAGTTTACTCAGGAAGACAAACCGGCCAACAAATAATTATAATGCCAAGTGCAAATGCTACTACGGAGCTACATATAGTGTATGTAGCTATGGGAAGATGAGCTGTCAGAGAAGACATGGATTTGAAGGACAAAGTTTAAAGCAGGGAGGGAATGTGTAGAACTAATAATGCTTGTGTGTGTGTGACTCAGTGTGAGTCCGTGTTTAGGTGTGTCCTCAGGACTGCTAGTGTATGCCCTCCCACAGCTGTATTTTATGTATATATATATGTGTATATATGTGTGAGCATGTGTACATGTGTTGTCTGGATCTCTCTGTGTCTGGAATCCCTTCTCCTGAACACACATTGTGGTTTTATTACAGATCAGTGTTTTCCATGAAGCTCTTGTGCAGATTAGCCTGGACCTGCCCAGCCCAGGGGAGGGGAGTACAGAGAACTGATGTTGGCTCTTTGGGAAGGAGTGGGCAGGCACTCTATTCACACTTGGGGGCCCAGACTCTTGGCTCCCCAATTGGCAGCAGTCAGCCAACGGAGGCAAAGGGCTGGACCCTAAGCTATGGTAGCATGTACCTGAGCTGTAGTCCCCTCTGGCCCTGACTCCCCGGAGGAGACACAGGGGTTATAGCCACCACTCCCCACTGAGATCTCAGGCCCCCTCCCCCAACCTATTCTGTCTGCAGAGGAGCAGGCCAGCTCAGACCTGTCCGCTGGCTCTCCTGTGGAGCAGATCCTCTCCAGAGGATTCCAGAAGGCTGGGGAATGCTGGAGCCTCCCAAGAGGCCCAGTACTCTATTCTGGCCCTCTGAGGCTCCCTCCAGCCTGGATTCCCCCCACCCACTCTGGGGTGCTACTTCTCTAGGTTTTTCCCAGACATAGACATCTTCACCAGGGATCCTCTCAACCGCTAGGCAGAAGGTGGGGTCCTGAGTTCTGGCCATGAGGACCTGGTGGGGGTGTGTTGTGAGGCTTAGAGACCTCTCTGCCCCACTTCCCTCTCCATGAAGCTACTTCCTGGAAAGCTCAGTTTTGGTGGCAGGAGAGAGAAGAGTCTCGATCTAGGCAGAGTTTTAAGGGTTAGGAAGAGGCTCTGTGGTCTGAGGAGGTCAGGGATCCCTCCCTCCACGCTGTCAAGGATGAGGACTTCCAGGTTTGGGCTGAAACTTCCCCTCACCCTGATTCCATCTCATTGTTTCCTGCCCTGTCCCACTCCCCAAGCCCTGGTCCAGCTCTGTCTCCATGACAACTTTTAGAGAAGCTTGGAGAGAAGGAGAAGGAATGGAAAAGTGAGTCTAGGGCTAGTCTCAGTGGACAGCCCTCAGGAGAGAACCCCCTAATAATCGTGGTGATGAGGGGTACCTGGCTGGCCCTACTTGTGGAGGTGGAGGTAGAGCACGTGACTCTTGATCTCGGGGTTGTGAATTCAAGCCCTAACTTGGGTGTGGAGATTACTTAGCAATAAAGCCTTTTTAAAAAATAAATGAGGGGCACGTGGGTGGCTCAGCCATCGAAGCCTCTATCTTCTGCTCAAGTCATGATCCCGGGGTCCTGGGATCAGCCCCACATCTGGCTCCTTGCTTAGCAGGGAGTCTGCTTCTTCCTCTGCCCCTTCCTTTGCTTGTGCTCTCTCTCTCTCTCCTGCTCTCTCAAGTAAATTTAATTTAATTTAATTTAAAATAAAAATAAGGGATCCCTGGGTGGCGCAGTGGTTTAGCGCCTACCTTTGGCCCAGGGCGCGATCCTGGAGACCAGGGATCGAGTCCCATGTTGGGCTCCC